GGATAGGAGGGGGGGGTTCCAAAAATCGTTCACTAGGACAGACCCGTGGATAGGTAATTCTTCTTCTAGATATAGTAAATAATAAATATCGGGCTGAATTAAATTCTTCTGAACTAACCTGAAGAATACTATTTAATGTTGCCATTTTTCGTCCATGTTTTAAGGGTTGGATATTCTCTTTAGATAATTCCCACTCTGCCATCTTTTAAATATATTTATATCATTCTGGAATAATCAGTTATTTGAGATAGAATTTAGAAGCGCAATTGATATCAAATGAATATATGATAATGGACAATTTCTAGGTATAAATTCCCGTGTATTTTTTCAGAGCTAGGAACTTATGAATGGTGGATATCAGGATTAATGCTTGATCCACTCTTTTTCTTAATCTCCAGATTAAATAAGGCTTGTTCTCCTCTTGTTATTAATCTCCCGATTAATTAACCGATCGGGATTAAGGCCGGATATCCCATTCTAAAGTTTTCAGCTAAGATTAAATTAATTTCGAAGTGAACGTTATACATCTATTTTACAGATTATTATGAATAAAATTAAAATTTATCAAAAAAAAACTGATCACTTGGCTCGCTAGTCACTTTAAAACACTATAATTTTAACAACATATGATAGATTTCAAAAATTTCCCGCTTCAATGTCGGTTGGCGTTAGTTTTTAAATCCCCAGCTGTATCGCAGGGTTACCACCCTGTCGGACGAAAAAGATTTGATAAAAGCTTTAGCGTGATATAAAATCTTGGCTAAAAAATTTTAAACATTTTTTCTGTACAAAATAACTACAGGGTGTTTTACAAAACATGACATTTAATAAATACTTATTCTTATTTTTAGTTAAACAAATCTTTTGCTTAATTATATTTTGCTTTGAATGATCTTTGGTATCAAACAACTAAACAGATAATGGAAAAAGACATTCTAATTTCTAAACTATTCACTAACTTTCGTGTTTCGTGGGACATTCTGTACTAGTGCACCAGACAAGAGGGCTGGTAACCCTGTTCTCACTAGTTTCTGATTGGATGGACCAGAATTATGTATAACAAACCGTTTCTCACGAAACTGCGTAGAATCTAAACCCGCGTAAACACAACACCGGAAGAATACTACTCGGCATTCATCGCAATGTAAGATTTTCCCCTCCCCCTGAACCTGTCATGCAAATGCAGACTAAAGTTGTTGGTAAAAGAGTGGGGGAGGAAAAAATCGTTCTCTAGAACAGACCCATTTTTTCTTTCTTTTAGGGATCACAAGATAAGGACAATAGTTCCAATCCCTTCTTTCAGGGTTACTAGTTAATTTATTAGCGCTTTTTCATTTTCTAGAAACCAAAAGAGGATTAAAATCGCGCTACAAGTATCTTCAATGAAATAAATCCGTGCAATGCCATGGTCTAGGGATCTTTGAAATGTTTCAAATACTGTGACTCTGTTTATTAAGGATAGTTTGTTAAGTTTAAACCCCTACTCCATAACAATTTCTCGAAACAGTATCTATCCAGGTATAACTCAGATTCTCTTCACTATCAATGTCTCACACAGGACACGATCCACTTGGCTACACTACAATCCAGTGACTTGTAAATGCCACTACTACAATCTCGAGTTATGTCAACCGGACAAGAGCAATCTATTGATTAATGTTTCGAACAGAACATGATTTACACAAGTACAATTGACGTCATATCTGCATCGTTTAGGTTGATCCAAGTCATCAAGATCATCCTCCAGTTCCTCATTAGATACGAATGGAAAATCTCGTCAAGACTCCTTTTGATCCCTTCCATATGTCTCCAATCGGATTCTCCTTATTGCTGATTTCACTGTCGTTTTTGTGTTCTGGTAAGATCTGATGTATCCATGTTGATGTTTGGTTCTAAAATGATATCAGAACCTGTGTTACTGGTTGACCGCTCAACTCCATCCCAGTCTTGGGTTTCCATGAACTTACTACGCGTTTCCATATCCACGTCATTGACAGATAGGAGGGGAAGGGGGTGCTTCTCCTCTTCCAGATGTATCATTCTCCGCAATTTAATCTTTACGTTTGCTTGGATTTCAGGAAGTGGATAAGCTACTTTATTACTTTTGTTGTTAGGCATAATATCCTCCCCATATGACGAGTTTCCAGTTCCTGTTCTAACTACATCTGTTGGATCCCTATACTTAACTGTTGGAGCTGGCATAAGATTTGGAACTTCTCTCATCTCATCTGTTTGCAATACCTCAGAATGTAATAATCACTGAAAAATCCATGAACACCACTATCTCCTCTGAATTCTTTCAATACATCTATGCTAACTAGCTGGGGTTTTCCTCGCTCATACGTACACTGTCATTACATCCACTAATGCTGGGAATATTTTCCGAATAATCTGGTACAGTCCAGACCAATATGATCTTAACCTGTCACAACTTCCAGGTACAATCTCTGGATCAAAAACCCAGACCCACTGTCCAACCTGGGATATGATTGGTTTGTTTGTAGTATTTAGTATTCCGACATACTGTGGCTTGTTGTTTCTCTCTTCAAAGAAGATTCTCAGGAATTACTAGTTACGTAGTATGACGGAGTTATATATATCTACGTACATTGAATGGGTTACTTGCAATACATAATTTACGTATTTACTATGGGACTCTGTTTTTGCTACACAGCCACTAGATTTGATAATTTTTTTGCACGGCACGTACGTCCATAGTGTGCATTTCTCACCTAATTTTCAATTAGGTCCTCACGCCAAATGCCAGACGCAGGCTCAGTCATCATACCCATTTCTCACGCGCTTGTTTCTGTAAATATCCACAGTTCATTTATTGTCTAGGAACAGGGAAAGCACGTCTTGCGGTGGAAACTGAAAAAATAAATCTCAATATTTATCAGTTCCACATAATTTAACAATTTTTAAAGCAATACCATCGACTAATCATTATGTTACAATCAATCAATCACACGAATATATTAAAAAGAGTGCTTACATTTGGTGCATCGACTGAGTGGGTGGAGCACCGTCCACGTAGGTATATTTCTTGACGAGAATGTTTATTTAACCAGATCCCTTATCTCTTAAGGTTCACTCCTTAAATAGTTTAGGTCTGGGAAACAACGTTCTCCAGATAGTTAAGGAATCCGCTCAGGGCTGGGAAACAACGTTCTCCAGATAGTTTAGGAATCCGCTCAGGGCTGAGAAACAACGTTCTCCAGTCAATCTTTAACTCAACATCAATGTTCTACTTCACGTCCTGTGAACAACTCATGGCTGCAGTAACAGGACAGGGTCATGCTCACAGGTAAAGTAGAGTTCAGCGTCTCATTCTTCTTCAGTTTAAACAAGGATTATCATACCAGTGCAATCTTCTTCTGTCGATGTACAGGTACAGCAGCAGCTACTCAAGAACTACTGTTTGTAGTGAAGTCTTCCGATCTCACAGAAACGAGTCAGCTGGGGTCAGGATACAACGATATTGTCCTCAGCGCCTTAACAGGGGTATATATTGTCGATGCACCGGGGAGGAATGAGATCAGGGTACAGCAACGTGTACACTGTTCCCATGTACAAGAAATACAGTACGTTAAAGAATGTACAGTATTATAAAATTTCTCAAACCTTTTGTTTTATATCGTGGAGAAATTATTCAGATTTGCATCCAAGAAAGACCATATAGTTTGGTCTGAAAAAGGCCTCTAATTAAATATTTTAATGAATGTTGTTCAGGGTAAATCTAGCGTTTACATACATAGTTACATTTTAAGGGTTGATGGTATTGCACTTGCTTCCTTTTATATTCAAGTTTAAAATCTTTTCTTTTTGCTTCAATTCACATATAAAATTGTAAGTTATAGAATAAACAGAGTAAATATGCATTTAAAAGCAGGGTTGAATATAGGCTAAATATTATGAAAGTTAATAAAAGTACTTCATATCTTCATATGGTTGATCTGGTGATTATGCTTGAATTCAGTTCAGTCTTGAGTTCTCGATAGGTTTCCTACTTCATCCTTCATTCTAGTTCTTTCCTAAACAGGGCTTAAATATAGGTGTTACACATAGCTAGTTTTAATTCTTCTGCTGCTTTCGAAATCAAACAAGTTAAGCAATTAGCATTAGTTTTAGATTTTATCTTCTTCTTAAATGTTTCATTAAAAAATACAAAGATGAAAAAAAATCAAATAAAAAATCACATAAAGGTATTCAGTTTTTATCAAGAATATTTTATAATTTTTTTCTATTTTTAAAATCTTTGTTTTAGATAAGCATTGCACGAGGACTGGTCCAGCCTGAAGAGAGTGTAGCACATCACCATGAACTGTTTCTACAGGAATATATTTAGATTTCGAAGCGGAAATTAATCCTAAGTATAGGAAACTTATTAAATACATGGGGCTTTGTAACAATAAAACGGAGAAATAATAATATTAGGGAGTATGAAGGGGGGGGGGGGTTCATTTTTACCCCTCCCCCTGTATTCCTCTATTGTACTTTTTTGGCGATATAAAGCTGAATTGACTTCAAAAGCTTATTTATTTTGTAAATGATTGGTAAGATCAAGGGTGTAATGCAAGGAAAGTTAATTGCGGTAGTGAATACTCTGCGTACATAATGAAACCAGTTCTCTCTGGGCGGAATTTGTAAACAAGAATAGATGCATTCGTGTTCGTTTAGTATCCGAGGAGGTTAAAAGTATTTAATTTTGATAATTTTGATAATCCACATAATAGTTTCCTATGACCAGAATATTTCATTGATTTTTTTATGTGAAAGATGGATCCCATGTCAGGCTTTGACATCCGTCTTGTGTTTACATTACCGCCCAGAGACAGTTCACTGCAGTACAAAAGATGTGTACACTTCTGAAATAATTTTCCTTGCCTTACATCCTTGGGTAAGATAATCCGGATATTCCATTGACCATGATTAAGTTACAGATGAAACAAAAGTGTAAAAAAAATTTTCAGACAACACCAAATCTCATTTTTTTATTATCTTCCAAACCGATGTGGGCTAAAAATCTGAGATATTTTTCCGATAGGAAATTGAAGCTGTGGATGAGTACTGGGGGCCAACATTTAGGTAACTTTAAGGGACTTCGAGGAACCCATTATTTGAAGAGGAGAATGTCCGATTCACAGTTAAAAATTTTCAATTTTGGGGTTTCTTTTAGAGTGATATATGGAGCAGAGACATGGAAGAAATTGTTTTAAATTTAACAATTTAGGAATTAAATACAACAGTGTTGCTTGGATAAAGATGTGAATCGGACAAGTAACTTTTTTCAAGTGAGGGATCAGTTGAAATTACGTTTAACCGTAAATAATATTTATGTCGAGATATTTGAGGGAACAAAAGTAACAATTTTAAAATTTTATCATTCCCATTCAAACTGGGAATGGGGTATTCAATTAGGAAAATGTTTTTATATTTTTATGACACAAGATGAGTAGAATTATATTAATAATTAATGAGATGAATATTATAAATATCAATAATTAATTATGATTGATAATGACTTAAACAACTCATTAAAAAAAATTGTGATTTTAAATATTTAATTGTCTTTCAGGGGAGTTTACGAGAGTGGGGATCACGAAGGGTTCTTGGAGAGATTAGAACAGAGGATTAAAAAACATGATGGAGATATTGAGAAAATGTGTAGTCATCATTATCAAGGTTTAATATCCATCAATCAACTTTAAACTTAATTGTTTTGATCAGAAAATCAACCACTTATTTGACCAATTATTAAATATCTTTGTTTAACTGTAAATTGACCATTTAATCAATCAATGATTGATGAAAAATCAACCAAATAATCGGACAAATATAAAAGTTATTTAATCAATTATCAACCGTCTTGTTGCAAAGACATTTAGTTGAAAAATTATTCCCCCTCCCCTTACTTTTCCAATTTTTTAAACACTGAATTATAAGGGTAAATAAGAAAATAACTTAATTTGGCGGACAAACTTGCCAGTTTATATCCAATTTTCCATTTTCCGACTCGAAAAATTTCTTGCTAATTACTTTTGCTAAAATGTTTTTTTTTTCACTTTTTATTTTTGTACTTGGATTCGGACCCGGATTTTAAAATAAATTAATTTTAGGATTAAAATTACCTGAAAGAGTACCTTTTGAAGTTTTTACTTTTCACTCCTAAGTATCAAAATTCATTCTTGGGGGAATATACTTAAATATACTGTTGTTGGCTCATTGAACTCGCATCGTAAGCACAGGAATATTAATTTTTATTTAGGTTTTATCGACTCTGTGCGTGATCTATTACGTGTGCGCAGCGATGCAAGTTTGTTAAAACAGGAAGTTTATAATATAGACCAGGAAGTAAGAACAAGCTGCATAAAACTTATCCAAGGTAGAAACATTATTTTCTCATTTATCTTGTAAAAAATTTAGATTTGAGAGATAAAAATATTTTCTGATAATTATAGCAAGAAATTAAAGAAAACATTTGATTAAGTTGTTTATTATTTTTAATTGGTTTTTAAACTTTTTTGAGCCGTGGTCAAACGGATTTATTTAAATTGCTGAATTCTGCATTTTTTAAAAACACACTTAAAACTTTTTTCTGTCAATTAAATTGGCAAGATAAGAACATAAAGATGAATCATGAATGCAAAAAATTCAAGAATGATTACCATTCGCTAACAAGTAACAGAAGAAAACTGTTTTGTATTTATAAGAGATAAAAGTATATTAACAAAGCTAACAGATCTGATTTGAGGGCATTTTCATTTCGCACGAGTTGTTAAACAATACCTATGCATTGTTGTCTTTGATGTTTTTTTGGGGCTAATTTTTGTTTCAATTGAACGAACAAAACAAAAAAAATAACAGATTTTTTGTAAAGGATCTGAAAAGCTGGTGAAGGCGCGCACAGTTGAAGCCAATATTTCTTCCACAATCTCTGCGCTCTCTCTTTGCTTACCCGTTCTTCAGATGTTTGCAAAGTTATCAAAACAAATGCGGGAAAAGAAATATCATCCGGCTTTGAAAACTTTGGAACAGCTTGAACAAACTCATCTTCCTAGGATAGCCAATTACAGGTATCCATATAAATAAAACTTTGTACGCGTGAATATAATTTATGAACCCCTTGACCTGAATTGCCTCAAATTCTTATTGGGGAACTCGAGACAACTTCTTTGCTTGGATGCTTTTATAAGAGGAAAAATAGATAAATTCGTAATTTAAGACCAAGCGCGGGTAAACGGCGGGAGTATCAATGAGTACCTTAGGCAACGCTGAGTTCCCAAGCTAGTTTGCTTATTGAAGCTGAAAAACTAGTACGTATATATTTATGTTGCAAAAAATTCGGTCGAGTAGTGTCAGTACGGAAGACTTTAGAGCGCGTACCGTGTAGGTGGGTTGGAAGAAAGGTCTTATTCCCCCCAATGTTGAAGAACCCGAATCGCCATCGGGTGAGCGCACTCAAACACCACCAAAATTTGATACAAGCTAGCCAAATAATAACAAATCTTTGATTTATTTTTTTTAGATTTTCTAAACAAATGCGGGAACAGATTCCAAAACTCCGGGAATCCATCAAAGAAGCGTCTATGAGAGACTTGAAGGATTTCTTGGAGAACATTAGAAAATATTCGTCAAAAATGGGAGAAATTGCTATGAGACATGCAGCAGGAAAAATATTTAAATTGTTCCGATGAGTCATCAAATTAAGTCAAGTTTAGATGTGAAAGGGAACCCAACGTGGACCCCCCAGTTTGCTTATTATTAACATTTCAATCAAAGTGTGGAATTTTTCATGATTTAATTAGAGTTAAAATAAAAAATACGAAACTATTTAATATAAAATTTGATTCAGAGTTGATAGACCTAGATGATGGAACTGTTTCAAGCCCCAGCAAACCCAGGCAACCAGAACCAAATCCTTTCACAGGTCTCTTCAAATTTTATGTAAAATATCTTAACATATCATAAATAACCCGTGTCAGATACAATATTCTAATTATGGCAAATACCAAAACAACTTTGTCAAATAGCACAAAATCATGAGTATGCAAAATAGCAAAACCTTTTTATTGTCAAATACCAAATGTTTTTGTCAACTACCAAAAAAAGCCGTTTTTTTTTGTCAAATATAATATCTGAAATGAGTTAAATATTTTGAGTCAAGACTTTCCATGACAAATAATTAAACCAACCTACCTACCTACCTACCTACTTATCTATCTATCTATCTATCTACTTACCCACCTTCCTACTTCAGGAGAGATTGAGTATGAAGCCCTTTCTGAGTCCCAATACAGTGCTGAAGAGGAGCTAAGTGCCCCGGATTTAGTAGATTTCTCCCCGGTAAATAGGACGTGCTTCATGCATTGTTTGATTCTTCTAATATCCCGGATTTTCAGCTTACTTATTGGATAAGAATTTATCTATTTTTACAATTATTTTTTATAAAGGTATACCGATGTCTTCATATCTACACTGTTTTGGGGGAAAGAGAAATATATGAAAGGTAAAATAGTATTTTTTTAAAAGTTTATTTTGCTTTCCAATTTAATCTGTCGGTGGCAATGGCAAAATGTTATTTGATTAATTGAATTATTGTTGATTGGACTTAAAGGTCTAGTTAAATGGCTCATTGGTCCTTCATATTGCGTTGTTTGATTTGACATGATGAGATGAAACGAATGATTATTTTTTTGAATCATTGATTTATTTGATTAATTGATAAAATCTGTAGGTATTATCGAAAGCAGCGTGCCCAACAGTCTGCTCTGACCCTACAGCCACCTAACAATATGCATGAAGAGATAGATGGATACAGGACATATTTCCACGGAATTGTAGGTAAGTCACACCCTTAATTGATTTTTAATTTTTGAAAAACAATATTTTTATGGCGCCTTTTCTGATCGTGCCACATCTTTAAATTGTCATCATTTTTATACAAGGGAAAATTATCACAAATTTTCTTTTATAAGATCTGTGGAGAAGTTCAACCACAAGAATTCTTTTTAATCCCGCTTAAGCACACAATTTGAAATTTAGAGTTTGGATTTTCTTTATCGATATCAACAAATAAAAACAGGAAAATCCGCCATTTTTTTCTTCAGTACTTGTGTTTTATAATGTACGAATTTATTTTGTTTTGAAATTGTTCAGGTTTCTTTGTATGCGAGGATCATATTCTGAATACTGGTGGAGGACTAGTTAGCCGAGGATACCTAGAAGAAGTTTGGTCTGGAGCACTTACTAAGGAAAACAATCACATTAAAGGGGCTGTAGATCTAATTTTGAATGACACTGCATTTGAAGAGGGGCATGTCCAACTCACAACGGCATCCTTTAGCCCTTTTTTATGCTCAAGCAAAGGTCAAAACGGTATCGTTGTGAATTGGTTATTCTTTCAAATAAAGGGTCACTTAAAATGACATCTTTTTCGCATCAAGGAATGTGAAGTGTCAAGAAACATTGAAAAACATGCCTCCAATTCTTTCATGAAAATTACATTCAAACTAATAATTCGGAGTCCGCGATTTAAAAAATTCGGGAAAATATGGCTCGGGTCTACGCCGTCGTTGGGCCTTATTTACGGCTTGAGCTTTCGGATTTAATCTTCATCTTATTTTCCATACAGTTGAGTTTTAAAAACCGGTTTAATATTATATTTGGCGGATTTTCATGGTAGGAATTTGCGCATTCTGGGTTTTTATGAGAACAAGACTTAACATTGAGTCAATTATTCTCCACTAAAACCAACCAAGGTCGGTTTTATTTTCATTGGGCCTAACTCCTTAAGTCGAGCCGAAGATCTTGCAGCTGTCAATTACGTGACACAAGCTGTCGTCAGAGTTGGGTCATAAAGTTGGGTTTAAGGAATTACGGCTTGAGCCGAAGATTTTAAATCGCGGGCTCAGGAGAAATTAGTTGGAAATATGCCATTTATAACCTCTTTTGGGACTAATGTCCCCTGCAAATAAAGCCTTAAAAAATATTCTGAAAATAACTTAATAAAAGTTTTATTTCTGTATACTGATTGTGCGAGTGTAGATTGTTATTACGCTTCGTACGAACTCTGCGTACTGTACCGAGGCTGCAACGATGCTGAAGATAAAAAATCTGATAATGTTATTTGCCAGCACACTCAGGTATAAACACAAGATAATATAGGGGTATATATTTAAAGGATAAGACAAAAAAGTATAATAAAAGCATATTCTTCTTTAAAAAAATTCTCGTGAATTTCTTTGATTTTTTCAAATATACCTACATTTTCACTTTACAGTGTTGTCTTTTCTAATTAAAATGATTTTTTTATTGTGTGGGGGGGGGGGGAGAATTATCAAAGCCTTGATAATCGAAGATTTTATGTCGCCTCTTAATCATCTAAAATCTGAATAAATCTTGTCATTATTCACCTCAGTATATCGATTTAGTTTTTAATGTTTAGAAGTTACGGTTACACAGTGGACAAACTATACCAACTGCTCCAGGTAAAGAAACTTATTAATGACTAGCTGAAGTTCCCAGCGATGCCCGTGGAATTTTAAAGTAAATTTGAAAAAAAAATCATAAAAAATATTTTCCATTTTATAAAAAAACCATATTATTTTAGCCAATGTTACAAAAAATTCAGCCAATTTGGTCCAGCCATTTGACCTGCTATAAATGACATAAATATAGATACATGAGCGATGAGCTTTATCATATAGATTACTTTAAAATCCATTTATATCTCTGCTACGTGATATTCAAACTATAAGTTCTGCTGGATCAAATAGCTTTGAAATACAAAATACCATTAGGTTTAAACTCATTAAAGTAATCCAGGTAGAGTATCAAGTGTTGCCCATGTTGGTTTATATTATTATAAAAAAATTACTCTATACGTTTATCCGAGCTTGGTACAGTGAATCCCATTTTTATAATGTTTTATTACATATTTAAGATCAAATGCCGTGGAATAATGAGTTTAATATTAATACATCAATTGTATTCATAAATCATGGCTGTATTAAACTTATTTTTCCGCGGCATTTGATCTTAAATATGAAATACAACATTATAAAACACTCTTGCTATGAATTCATTTATCTGGGATTCACTGTATGAAATGAAGATTTTAGCTGAAATGCCCAGCGTTGCCCGTGAAATATTTTTATCTATTTATCTCTGTTTCTAGGAGCTACGGGATCATTATAACGAGGTTCTGATGCAGAGATGGGTTTCAAGATTTAGAGATATTTTTGATTCGGATAATTATCATCCTATACAGGTAAATAAAGTAATATATCTCTGTTTTTTTTGACTTTGAAGACTCGTTAGAACCACAGGAATGTTTTCAGCTTTCATTAAAAAAATATTGGTTGAATAGAATGACTTCAAAAAGAAAAACTTAGTTTTCAGTCAAAGCTGGGTTCCCAAGCTAGCTAGTGCTAGTGAATGTTAATCATACTTTTTGCCCCTTTTTTCTCCTTCCAATCCCCTAAGGACCGGTTAAAATTTATTTTATTAGTGAGGGAAATTATTTTCTGGCAAAAATATCCCTTGCAAGATTTTTTTCTTCGCTCATCTCTTTTTCAGCATAATTGTCCTAGGATAGGATGTATGATTGACAATGGTACCTTTGTCTGATCAAGGATGAATGAGAAAATCGTTGTTTAGCTGAAAATTGATTGTTTTCAATTTTAGTTTCTCTTTAACGTGACCTTTATAATGCTGCAGAGAAAAAGCTGGAAAATATTTAAAAAAGCCAGAAAACGACGATGTCTATTTTAATGATGCTAAGATAAAGAGGGGGTGGGGGTGAGTGCACTCGCCTGATGGCGGTCTTGGTTCTTCAAACGGGGGGAACTTTCAGATCTTTTTCCTGATACTCCTGAATAGTACCATGGCGAATCGGACATGCTATTTCAAGCTATGAATGCGCTCCACAGTCCCTTTAACTGAAATTTTAAGGGTTTTTCGTATTTTTTTCTGTTTCCTTTTTTAGCTTTTTTATTTTGTCATTTTGTCATTTCCGTTACATTTAGGTTTTAGGTAGATAGTAGTACTCCTGTCAACTCATTGAACATTTTTTGTTTGTAAATTCCTAAATTTAATGTCTTTTTCGTTATTTGTCATTTTTATCATTTTTACCACGGTTTTTGTCATGTTTATGTGCAATTGTTTGAATATCCGTAGGTAACAACTCCTGTTGAGTATGAAATGATCACATCCTCCTTCCCCTACCATAGTTCAGCTCTGGACCTTCAGGAGTTCCCTAAACAGTTCCCTTTCTCGGCGATGGTTCCAAGGTGCGTCATGTTTATTATCAGAAGTTGAATCTAATAAAAATCTGGAATAATTTTATAATTTATTTAATCTTTTTACGTTGTCTATGTTTGTCTATATTTTGTTTGTCATTTTTAATATTTGACGAAACTGGTAAACCGATCGGGCCCAATTTATTGGTAATAATGGCCAGTTGTTAAAATAAAATTGGCCTTTTTATAGTTGATTTTAAAATGCAGGAATGTATTTAAGATAGAGCAAAGATTTCACAAGAAAGACAAGCTCTAAGTAATACACTATCCCCAAAAATATTTTATTTTTTTTTTGCCTCCGAAGAAATCCAATGAAGCAATAAAAAACTTTTTAAAATGTTTTCGTTTCTTATTCCCTATATTAATGAGGTGGTGGGGAGTTAAATATATCCTGAATCTGTTTCAGGGTGTATACTGAAGTCAAGGAGTTTATAATCTCATGTTTGGAGTTCTCACGTGATCTTCAGCTTACACAGACGGATCTAGACGAAACTGTCAGGTTCAGAACATTTAATAATCAATCAATTAAGCAATCAATCAATTTCTCAAACGATTATTCAATCAATTAATCAAGCAATCAATTAAGTAAACAATCACTCAGTCAATTTATCAAGCAATCAAATAATCAAACAATCACTGAATCAATCAGTCAAGCAATCAATTAGTCAAGCAATGAATTAGTCAAGCAATCAATTAATCAAGCAATCAATTACTCAAGCAATCAATTACTCAAGCAATCAATTACTCAAGCAGTTAATTAATCAAACAATCAATTAATCAAACAATGAATTAATCAATTAATCAGTTAATCAAACAATCAATTAAACAAACAATTAATTAACCAAATTGTTCTTTAACCAAGCAATCAAATAATCATTTGATTAATCAAGCAATCAGTTAATCAAACAAATAATTAACCAAACAATCAATTACCCATTCAATCAATTAATAAAACAATCAATTAATCAAGTAATCAAGTAATCAAGTACAAGTAATCAAGTAATCAAGTAATCAAGTAATCAAGTAGTCAAGTAATCAAGTAATCAAGTAATCAAGTAGTCAAGTAATCAAGTAATCAAGTAATCAAGTAATCAAGTAATCAAGTAATCAAGTAATCAAGTAATCAATTAATCAATTAATCAAGCAATCAATTAATCAAGCAATCAATTAATCAAGCAATCAATTAATCAAGCAATCAATTAATAAAACAATCAATTAACAATGCAATAACTAATCAAGCAATCAATTTATCAAGCAATCAATTAATCAAGCAATCAACTAATCAAGCAATCAATTAGTCAAGCAATAAATCAATAAAGTAATTATATAATAGAGCAATCAATTAATCAAGCAATGAATTTGTCAAGTAATCTATCATTAATAAATTAATTATTGTCAATTTATCAATTGATATCTATTAAATATTTCCAATCACTCTATTAATCAATGTAAATCATTATCAATTAATTAATTGGTATTAATTATTCTATCATTATCTATATCAATCAATCAACCATTATCAAGTAATCATTTAAAATCAAGCATTTATTCCCATAAAATCATTATCTGTCCATTATTGTCCAATAATCATTACCATTGAATAAAAAAGATATTAAATTGAATCAATTGATTATTTAATATCAATTAATCTCAAATTATCAATTATAATTTCAATCAATGTTAAGGAAATCAATCTGTATTGAGGAAAAAATTATTATCAATCAATCAATATGATTAAATTAGTTGATAGAATTTCTTCCGGGTTTTCAAGATCTAGAGAAATGATAGTGGTTAGGAGTAGGGATGTTTATTTTCCACTAAATTTTTTAAGTAATCCCCTTGGGCTGATTTTTTAATGAATTGGAAAAAAATGAATTTCTTATCAAAAGACATTTTTTTTATCCTTTTGATACTTTTCCTCAGAAGATTGATCTATTTTTCCCGTAAAACAAATTATTTTTCCCAGTTTAGCGAAGACGACCTTTAAAAGAACTTCTGGGGAAAAAATGATTTTTCCACGATAGGGGTGGGGAAAGAAAATTCCACCCCTGTAAGGTTTTTTTAGTACACGCTTTATTTCAGACGTTCAACCAACCTTCTTCTCACGAGAACATTGTCTGGGTGTCTCTCATCCTTAATCAGGAAAAATTAACATTTGAAATAGTCTCCAAAATAAAGAAATTTTAATCTTCAATGATATACCAATTAAAAAACGTAAAAGTTATTGAAATTAACAAATTGCTTAAAAGATTGCATCGGAAGCCAAATTGAATATTAATTATCAACAAGTTTGGTTGAGTTGTTCTCAAATTATAATTTAAAAGATTTGTCTGTACTTGTTAACAGTAAAATCTTTGAATTATTAAAATTCAATTTTTAAAAGTCGTACTTTTCAATATCTACTAAAATTTAAAACTTGAATTTTCTAATTAAAGCACAAAGGGTCATTAAAGTTAAACAAATTAATAAAAGTTAAATTTTGGAAGCAACAATTTAAAATTAATCTTTATTTGAAATTTGAAATCTTACTAAATCTCAACAATTACATGTTAAGAGTATGAAACTATTAAGAGGATTTTATCTTGAATTTTGAGTCAAAAATTTATTTATACTTTAACACGTTTAATTTTTTTATTAGAAAATCTGGTCTGAGTCTTCTGCAGTTAATACAGATAGTGATAAATACAGTACACTTAGAAGATACAAACATATACCTGGAGGACTATATTACAGAGGTTTGTACATTGTACACTGTACAGTACATACATACATTTACACTTAGAGGATACACACATATACCTGGAGGACTATATTACAGAGGTTTTTACATTGTACACTGTACAGTACATACATACATTTACACTTAGAGGATACACACATATACCTAGAGGACTAAATTACAGAGGTTTGTACATTGTACACTGTACAGTACATATACACATGTACACTTAGAGGATACACACATATACCTAGAGGACTATATTACAGAGGTTTGTACATTGTACATTGTACAGTACATATACACATGTAAACTTAGAGGATACACACATATACCTAGAGGACTATATTACAGAGAATTGTAAATTGTACACTGTACAGTACATATACACATGTACACTTAGAAGATACAAACATATACCTAGAGGACTATATTACAGAGGTTTGTACATTGTACACTGTACAGTTCATATACACATGTTCACTTAGAGGATACAAACATATACCTTGAGGACTATATTACAGAGGTTTGTACATTGTACACTATACAGTACATATACACATGTACACTTAGAGGATACACACATATACCTAGAGGACTATATTACAGAGGTTTGTACATTGTACACTGTACAGTACATATACACATTTATTTATTTGTAAACATAAGGAGCAGCACATGTTATGAACTAGAAATTAGTGATCTTTAACACATTATGTTTATTTCTACACACATTTTCAATTCCATGATGAAGACAATTTTAGCTCTATCTGCAGTTCTTATTTTAACTTATTATGAATTTGTTCTAGGTTACAGAGGTGGAAGATATTAATCAAGTTGCCAGGCTTCAAGCCAGATCTATGTTTAAGGTAATTATTTATTAATCATTCTCTCTCAGTGTACATTCAGCTTTCAGAAAAGCAACAATTGAGTCTTAGTATAGGCGCTTCTGAAAGTATTCAGAGATACAGGGTGAGAGAGAGAAAATGGACAGCTAGAGAAACTTCAGCTAGGGGGTGTATATGGAGGGAATATACCCCTGCAAACAAATGGAAAAGAAAATAACGTTACCACAATCAACATTTTAGGCCTGTATTCATCTTTTAACGCTGTATTACCCTGGAGAATGGAAGTTTTTAGCTAGCTAGATCCAGATTTTCCTACTGAGAGCTTTTATTATACTCCTTGACAACAAGCCTGGTGAGCTGTTATTAACCACCTGTCGGCAAGACGTTGATTCTTTCGATTGAAAATGGTTCTATGTTTAAGCATCAAGATGCCAGTTCCATGTACAAGAATCTTTCCCAGATTAATCTTACAAGAATCAAGAGATTGTTTGTCGAAAATATCCACTCTTTTCCTAACATTTCTTATCCCATAATTCTGACATTGGATCCTTAACATTTCCAAACCACAATAAGCATTGACTGTAAGAATATATATAATGAATATGAACAATCTGGATCAAAAAGCTACATCATCGATCCGCACGCATTCCACAATATATCTCATCAGACATCTCTGCATGAAACACAAACATTAACTTTCTACTTTACTTAATTTGAAATTTATGGCGCCAAGATATCAAATTGAAAAAATAGTATGAATAAGAAAATCGCAAAAAACGCTGCAGCTCTGGGCAATATGCGTGAAACAAAATCAGAAATATGTGTCAAAATTCATTTTTCTCCTTTCTACAAGGGAGAATACAAGAGTGGAACAGAATGTAATTGTATGATCAGCTGAAAAGAAGATACAATAGACAGAAAAAATTCACTCCTTTTAAAATTTTGTTATCTCAATTTAAAAATGAATGGAAAATTTTTTCTTTCATCCTTCATGTACAAGTTCATGTATGCTGTGTAAAATGTATTCAACTGTACTGCTTTTCTCATTATTTGACAATACAGTACAGCATAGTATAGTACATTGCAGTAAAATGTATACTTGTCTAGGATATCCGAGCTGAAGCTGAGGAGCATATTTATAAGAAACTGGTTTCTAAAATGGATGAGTTCCTGGAGCTCGCAAATTATGATTGGATGCTCAGGTAAAGTATTATTCAAATGTTTTTTGTATTTTGAATTTGATTTTAATCTAATCTTAAATTAATTATCTCTTTTTGTCTTTATGGCTGGAAACCGTTCCGTTATAAAACAAACGTCACAAACCGTCCATTTTTCAATCTTTAACGAACGGAAATTGCCGATCTTAAAAATGTAAACGGTTTATGGAAAACGAAGTGTTTTAAAATAGCGAAGAAATTCGGTATTTTTTCATTTAGAATTATATGAAAACGGAAAATAAAAAATAAATTTTACATGAATTCGTTACACGAATTTTGCATTAAATAGTCGGTCATAAGTTGGCACCATTAACGATTTCTAAAATATCTTCTGTTTATGCGTTTAATAAGATTTAGGTCGTTAACGAACGGAAAATACCGATAGCGAACAGAATGTATATTTTTTAGCTGAAGAACAAACGCGCTGCCACCTTATGAGTGAAAGCTGATTTTTGTACGATTATAGCTTACCGTTCAAATTTACTCATCCGTCTATCTAGTGAGCCCCGTGGGACTGCATCCCCCTGGTTAATGGACCTGATTGCCTTCTTGAAATCAATATTTGATTCCTTCACTAATCTACCGACTAGGCTCGCCCAGATGTGTTGTATGACGTCATGTCAACATCTCGCCAGGTAATATTTTATTTCAAATGAACCCATGATACTGTGGAACAGGAAGACGACTGTTAGTTCCATGTTATGGTTCTTATTAGTCCAATGAACTTGAAACACATCAGTTCTGAGGTTTATTTTAAAGGTAAATTTTAAGCTATTTGCTTCATATAAACACACACTGCACACAGGGTTGTTAAATGTCGTCTTCCTATCTCACAGTTTTTAAGGAGCAACATTTTTCAATTATAATGTTTATTTGAACGTCAAATAAAATGATTTCTTCGGTTAAAGAAGACCAGATTAAGCCTGAAAATTGAAAACGTGTGAAAGGGAAGAGAAAACTAAAAATCTAATTTAATTCTGATTTAAAGTTACTCTATATTAATAGAGTGTCCTGTCCGACTCACAAAAGTACCCAAAACGCTTTGTGTGATCAAGAATGAAATTGATATCCATGTTTATCTAAATTTTTATCCAATTGTGCATTTTTATCTTCCACACCATTGATCAGATAAAGGTTTAATGGATACCTTTGGGAATTGGGCATGTCCATTTTAAGTTGGAAGGTGACTTTTGTTTGATTTATTGCTTTTGTATTTGTTATTTATTTATTTTTTAAATGTGTGCGTCAATATCTCCATTGTTCAGATCGATAATGAACATGATGACCTCGGACAGCTTGAAGAGTATCACCACTGGTGCCTTAGGCCAGCTTGACCTCGACCTTTGTCAGTGTGAGACGTTTGCTGTGAGTGAACCAGTTCCAGGTAAACTTAAACGAACTGTCGACTCAAGTTCGAATGAGGCTAGATTCACAATGGTACCCGAATATCATTGTGATATTCTAGTTTTTACATCTAAATTTTATATATTTCAATTGTGGTTCTTTGCAAATTTTAAAACCCACGGTATTTGTCCATTGTTACCTAAATAAATAGTTTTAAGACCAGTACTGATAGGAGATCTAAAAACAACGATTTCACTGGTAAAAGTTTTAAGATTTTATGCTATTGAAAATTGTGATTTTAAGAGAAAATTCATAAAATAATTCATTATATCATGGAACTGCCGCTTTGACCTAAAATTTATATTTTGGACCCTCAAATTTATATGCAGCCCGCGGGTTGCGAGACGTTATATATTATTTGAGGGTTAGATTAGGTTACCACAATTTCTGGGAAGGTGAGGGGGAGGGGGTGTTTGAAATAACTCACTCTCGGAAAAAATGAAATAATCACAATTAGGACTAAAAGAGAAGCTAAAAAGATTATCTTCAGTTCAAAAATAAAAAAATAAAATACGAATACCGGATATCATCATTTCCCCCTTCCTAAAATAACCTTTTAATAATTCAGGTTTGGAGGAAGGTATCCTACTAATGTGTTTTTCCGACCTACGTCAGCTATTGGATCTATTTGTTGCCTGGGACTGGGCAACCTATTTCGCGGATTTTGGTAAACCCGAGAAAAATAAATATCAGAGAGTACAGCCGGCCACCGCCCTGCTAATCCTAGACAAGTTAAGGGAGGCGGATAAAAAGTCCATGTTTGGGAATATTAGTTTGAACAAGAAGGAGAGGGACAAGGTCAAGCTCCTGGAGGTGGTCACCAAGCAACTGAAGGGGTTGGTGGTTCAGACATCTTCATAGCAGAGGTTCTAGTGGGGTGGGGGGCAACAATAACATTGGGCACTGGGCAGAGTGTAGATTTGGCAATAATACATGAATACGGAAAAATTTGTAATTAGAAAATTGAAATTAGACCAAATACTACTTGAACGATTCAGTGATTTTTCTATAAAAAAATTCAAACAACTCTTTTTTCCTGTAATTTGGTAAAAAGTATTGCGATATTAGGTTATATTTCTATTTCACTTATTTTGTAAAGATGTATATTACTGATATTACTAAGGAGTATTGGTGTTCTAAAAAGTGAATTTGAATTTCAAAATGAAGTTGCTGCTATGGTCTTAATTGCTTAATTGGCACGAACTTGAAGTATGATCAGAAAATGATCACAAATAATTCCTGTGGTTTTAGAAGAATTAAGTGGACTCAAATCTTTATATATTCATCAATTTTAAATTGGTTAACATTGGGAAAATGGTTTTTATTTAAAACTTTTTGATAAAGATTTTGATTTATAACTGTTAATAATGTTCATAACAGAATGATCCGGGAAGCTAAGGATGTTGCATAATTCTCATGGATATTGGAACTCCCTGTAGTGTACATAACATACCTAAACATATATTACATACATTTATAAAACAAAGCTCTTCCTCTGTATATATTTATATATATTTATGTTAGCTCTAGCTGGCCAATAGGCTGGACAAAATTGGCTAACATTTTTTTAATGAACCCGGGGGTGACATAGGCTAAAAGAATTGACATTTTTGAAACTCCACGGGCAACGACGGGCACTTAAAGGGAGTGACCGGCTATGTAAGGTAGTTTAACTGAATATGAAGTGTTGTTGAAAACTTCTTTCGGATTCATTTGAGACATATTAAACTTTTTAAAGATCTGTAAATCCTGAGTTTGAGCGCAAATTCGACGTTCAAAACTCCTACTTTGGGGTTGATACGTTTTCAGAATCAGTTTTTTTAAATTTTTAAATAACGACGACATAAAATGTAAAAAAAGTTCTACAATAAACTACAGGAACATGTTGAGAAAATAAAAATTAATCTTACCATCGAAAATAAGTAATCTTGTTTAATTATTAGTTTCTATTTTCTCATTATTCTGGCTCCTCATTATTCACAAAGATTTTCGAAGATTTTCTAGAATTATTATTGAAAAGACGACATTTGAAGAATTTGAAGATATCTGCGATAAATTCAAAGAAGATATGAAATTCAATATAATAATGAAAGAGAAATAATCGATTTTAGCATTGATTTATTGACAAAATTCTTATGAGAAATATGTTCCTAACCATCTAATTAGATAATTATATAATTTTTACTTTATTTTTCGTTGTCGTTATCTAAAAATTCAAAAAAACTAATTCTGAAAACGTATCCACCCCCAAAGTAGGAGTTTTGAACGTCGAATTTGCGCGCAAACTCAGGATTTACAGATCTTTAAAAGTTTAATATGTCTCAAATAATCTCGAAAGAAGTTTTCCACAACACTGCATACTTAGTTCAACTACCTTACATTGCCGGACACTCCCTTTAATTTAGTAATATATAGTACAGAGTTGCCCACTAGGGATGAGACTTCAGAGACGATTGTACGCAACTTTTTTCTTAAAATCATGGTTCCTTGTAGCTATAAAATGTTTTTAATTTTTAGGAACATTTCATATTTCATGAAAAAGCTATCAAGGAAAAAAGATCGAATAAGAGTCATCTTAGTATTTCAAGTCATCATTAAAGTTTCATCCTTTGTGAGTATTTCGTCACTGTCACGTGATAAAGCTTGTACAGTTTTGGTATACTAGCACACAATTTATACAATGCATCTATACATAATAATAATATACGTTTACAGTTTATTTTTTTATCTTAATGCGCGTGTACAAAGTTCACAATTGATTAATGCATAAGGAATTACAATTTTTTCTCGCTTACACATAGAAAAATCACAGAAATACAGTTTTACCCTAAGCTGGGAAATTGAGTACTAAGAATTGGAACCGAGTTCATATGATGTAATTACCAAAGGAAACATTTTTTTTCAATTTATAATTTTCATTTACACAGTCAAGTTTATTCTAACCTAGAAATGAAACTGACTTTTGGAAGTTGGTAAATTTATGTGTACTGTGTTACAGGCTCTTTGATTTGATAGCTTCCTTCAGGATACACCGTACATTGTACAATTAAAGAGCTGTACATTTATTTAATTATGATTTATTATCTGGTCGGGTTACCTTAATTATGATTTTAAGATTTGAAACTATATATTTTTTAGAACTTGTAGTGCTTTTATGATTAAATTATAAATTTCTGTTAGAGTTGGGGAAAAAAGCAATATTGCCTGTCATGAAGACTCGCATTTAATGCCTAAAATTGTGTTTTTCTTGCTAAATTTTAACTTCTGGGAAAAATAAAGAACTTGACTGAGAAAATAAACAAAAAAATTAGAAAATTCCATCAAAAACTTCCGTTTTTATATGTTCACCTTTTATTCTGGAGCAACCTTTTTCTATTTTGCGGTTTGCAGAGTTTTTGAACAATCTAGATTTAGATTTAATTGTTTATAAATGTTAAAAATCTGTGATAAAATATTTGCTTTATAGTTTAAGGGTGCCGACTTCCGAGTCAAGAATATTATATTCAAGGGAAAAAAATAGTAAGGTTGATGACTTTTGCCTTAATCTGCAATTAAAGCGGTTTAGTATTAAATTCGTATGAACAGCTGATTCCTGCGACTCTTATCTACCGAGAGTTGTCTTGATTGGTCGATACACTAACAGATGAGGGACTTAATCCGACAGACTTCAAAAGATATAGATTAGTGCTTTTTGAAGAGATGTAACAAGATCACAAATTTTTGACCATTTCTAACGATTACATTGTTTATGGTTTTGGGAAGATGATTATGATTTTAAAAAGTACTTTGACTTTTTAATATATTTTTTTTACTAATGACTTGCTTGGGAACCCAGCTTTGACGGGAAATTTAAATAATCTAAGAACATTTCCGTGGTTCTAACGAGTTACCCAATCAAAATTTGAGGAATATCGGTTTCGTGAGTTATGATCGGACATACAAACACCCAAACAGCGATTACTACTTTATTTTATCCATGAAATAATCTGTCACGTAATCTACGCCATCTATAGCTGTCTATTTATTCTAAGAAAAAAACCTCCTCGGGAGTCGGGACCCTGAAACCGTAAAGTAAATATGATTTTCTCGATACTCTTGTAATCTGTTTAGCATACTTTACATCTGGCAGATTTCAGTGATTTTATTGTTGTAAATATACACTACAGTGCAGTACTGTTAAAATATTATTTTCAAAACTAATGGTTTCCTCGCTATTCTTGCATTTAAACCGACTGTTTAGTTTTGGTAGCTTGGTGAAACTGTTATTATTACTTAATATGTATAATTCTTAAAATATCCTTAATAATTCAAAGCTTTAAGAAAAGAACTGAATTTTAGATTTGAATTTTTTTTCGCATGATAATTCGTCTCAACATTAAAAAGATAGATACTCAGTTTGATTGCTAGATAGTTATAATGTTAACATATATATATGATAAAAACTATGTTTGTTTGTTGTACAGATTTAAAATAAGAATGGGCGAAAATAGAAATATCTTTTACAAATATTGTCGCCTCACTATTTTTCTTGTTCTTGTTCACCTCCTCCATTTTTTTATATGATAATATAGGGTTAAACATTATTTCACCTTGTTAACTAAAGTTGTATACCCATTATATTGATTTAACATTCCTTAAAACTTTAAAATTTCAGAAATAAAATGATCGGTTCCATTGTACGTAGTAGCTCCCATCTTGTCAGTGGACTTAGGTATCTTTCTGTTTTGGTTGCATTGGTAGGTTATTATGTTACTTACGGAGACTGTAGGCGTAATTTAAGGGACCCTTCATGTATATGTAGATTGTAGACTCCTAGGTTGTCCGATTCATAAATTTTAATCCTTTTACTGACAAGTAAAAAATGGCGTTAAAATTAGCTTGATATATTAATAAACAAAAAGTTGAGGCAAATTAAAACATGCAAGGTCGGGCCGAAAAATTGCCTCGAGTCCGGGCCTAACCCATGACCTCGCCAGGGGTGTATAGGGTCATTCTTTAGAAACTAAGTCAGCTTTTAGAAATCATTGAAGTCAATGAAATTGATTTTCTTGAAATATATTTATATATATTATAAATATATTAATAATATATGTATAGATATATATATATATATTTATTTATGTCAGGTCCTTCTCTAGTACAGCTGGTAGAGCTGGAGGTCATGGTGTACCTCCACCAGGAGATAATCTTCCTTTTTCCATCAACAACAGGTCAAAAAACTATATAATATATTGTCTGACCGACTTATATATATTATAAAATATTAGAGCGAAAAGAATAGTTTCAAACGTTTTATGTGGGAAAATTTGAATTTTTGTTAAGGTTTAAGTTGACTGCATATTTCATCCTTTTCTTCGGAAGTGGACTCACTGTTCCATTCTACGCAATGCGTCATCAACTTCTCAAGAAATAAGCTTAACATCTGTTGGAGCTGCAGTACAAGAATTGCGCGGTCACCACGTATGTTTACATGCATTGTTGCCTTGTTAATGTAGAGCAGCTTTTAGATTTATATAGTTGTAGTATTATTTATTTATTAGTTTTATTTTAAATATTAAATATTAATTTTCTTAAAATCCATCAAATATCATTTAGCTCTTGTTTCTAGCAGACTTGATTCTAGAATATGATTTTAGTGAATTTAAGAAGAAAAGTTTCAGAAAAATGCAATAAAGATAAATCAAAATGTCAGTCATGAAGTTCTGGGCGGACATGGAGCAGGAAACCATTGATTGATTGATTGATTTATTGGTTGATTGATTCTTTGGTTGGTTGGATAATTGACTATTTGTTTGATTAATTATTTTGATTGTTTGATTGATTTACTGATTGGTTGGTTGGTTGGTTTGATAATTAATTATTTGATTGATTGATTGATTATTTGATTGATTTTAACTGTAAATCCATTGATTTATAACGTTAATGATTGAAATGAAAGAAAACAAGTGTTATATGTTAGATTTTGTATGTTTGGGAAATTCAAATCTACGTAAATATAATACACATGATGATATAAATGAATATTTACAGTAAAATAAAAATAGTAAAAAGTAAATATTTATAGTAAACATTTAAAACTAATGGTAAATGAATGAATTAATAGTAAATGAATAAGTAAATATTGATTACATAAATCAATGAGAATGAATAATGAATGGCTGTGTTAATTATGAATAATTGAGTGAATTATGAATAAACGAGTGAATTAAGAATAATTGAGTAAATAAATAATGAATGAATGAATGAGTGAATCATGAATGGTTAAAGGATGAATATGATCCGGAAGAGTTTGTTGAAAGACTGGCATTTAGGGCGAGGTGAGTTTAACAAATATTCTATCTATATAATAAAACAAGTCATTCATATATATGTTGCGTAAAGTCGGGCAAACGGCTGGACCGATTGGCCTGAAATTTTTTGTTGACACTCATGGGTGGCCGGCGGGTGTTATCTCGGCTAAAATTTTTTTTTTCATAATTGAAGAAAAATTTTTTTTCCCCACGGGCAATGCCCCGCCCTTCAGCTAGTACTTAATATAAGAGTTGATTTCCCCACCCCCTTCGTTCCCCTTCACCGGAGCTGGGGGGGGGGGATTTTTTTCTTTGATAAATTAAGAACAGATTTCGGAGGTTTCTATCAGGATGTCTACATAACTGATAAAATTATTGTGCAGTAGTGAACAGATTTTTACTCACGTTTTTAAAATGTACAAAGGAGGATTGCTATTTTTTGTTTATTTCTTCATTTATCGTTTTTTACTATTTATTTTGTGTTCATGGTAAATTTATTTGTGTTGTTGTATTTAATGTTTTTTTGTCATTTTGGTTATTTTATTTATTTTAGTTGTTTTTATTAATGGTTGACTGTTTATTATTACTTTTATTATTACTTTTTTCGCTAAATCAATATTATATTTATTGTTATGTTTAGATCTGGTTCTAACTCCGCGGATCTGGGAGAAGCGCAAAATTTACACACCTCATTCCTCCAAGCAATCAAGTAATAAGAACAACAAAAGATAATATATTTTGTCAAGAAACGTATTTAACATTTTTTATTTTAGAGAATTGAAGATTATGCATGAGAAGCAGGAAGCGAAGTGTAAGGTGAACTAGTTCAATTTATTTTCAGGAGAACACGATTGCAGATTTGAAAATAAACAGCTGATTCTCAAAACCAAAATGGCGGTTTTGCAATCTAATCATAGCGTTTTAACCATGTCAACACAATTTTAGACATTAAAACCAATTTGGTATGACACTTCCCGATGTTTAGCAATATATTTTGGTTGGAATTTTCTCGAATAATATTAATTGTTTAATAACTTGATACTTGAAAGGGAGACAATTTTTGAAAACATTTTTTTTGCGTAAATAAATATCTTTTATAGTTTTTTTTTACTTGAGGTCATAAATGCCTAAAATTTCGGAAATAATGGTCACTAAATTCGCAAGTACTAACGAAAATTTCGTTTTCCTTAGGAGCTGGAGGATAAATCAAGGGAGGAGGAGAGAGCTCATTGGACTCGGGTAGCAGCACTCATTCATAGAAACAAGGTACTGCCAGTAGCGAGGGAGGTAAAGCACGCCGCACCCTTTTTTCTTCATTTCAACAAATGGTAGCGAGATCATCCATATCGCTTCGTTTCCTGTTGCCCGTCTTGTCTTTTCAATGTTAATTTTATTTTTTGCATTTACTTTAAATTATAATATTTCTTACATACCTAATGGTGTTTGTGAAAATTTGAAAAATAATTTCAATTTTTACCAGAAATAACTTTTTTTGCCTAACAAGCCTAGTAATTGTTGCAACGGTTCAAAGTAATTTCTAATATTTTGCGGAAGAAAATGATTTCAATTCACTAGCAAGTTTATTTCCTGTTTTCCTCTGTTTTCTCTTTTTTATTCTAAATAGTAGTATCTTTCTCTCTAAAATCGTTTACTTCCCCCAGTTCAGATGTTTCCGCTTCAAAAGAAAAGTAGTGATTCTTAAAGAAGAGGAATTGTTTGCACCCCTTTTCCAATATACACTAAAGTTCAACTGTACTATGCAGAAAAGACATAAGGAAACATCCCAAGGGGTATATATTTTAGGAATCCCACCCGAACGGTTTCTTTCTCGCCATCTTAATAGTTTTCACCCCAAAACTTATTTATTACCCCTAAGAATCAGTTATTATTCAGGAAACGTACCTAACATCTTGCATTAAAAAAAGATTTAAATAAATGTTCACTAATGTTAGGTTGGAAAAGTAAAAGCTTTTTTATCTATAGTAAAGTAAAAAATTATTTATTTATGAAATATAACAAAAACATACAAAATAAAGTGTTTCAGGAGAAAATATTTAAAAACCTCTAAAAGTAGAGGTTGTGGGAATATTTCCCCCCCAATTCTAAAAAATATAAAAATATAAATAATAGGAAAAGGAAAGGATAAGGACTATAATGAACTAAAGATCGGAACTTTGTATTCTTAAATCTTTTTGTATCTTTTGTAATTCGACGGATTAAGCTCATTTCTTTTTATATTTCTCTAAAGGTACGATCAATCGGAAGGGAAGCTTTCCTGCACTTTCGCGCCTTCCGAAAATGCGAATCAGCTGTACTTCATAACTTAAGCATTTCGTAAAAATTATTTGTGTTCTAGGCTGCTGCTGCCACCTACAAGTCCCTGGATGAGAAGATTAACTCGGTGGCGGGTAAAGTGGTTTATCTAGGAGATCAACTAGGTAAACCTTATAAATTTAGCCATTTATATACTTTGATCCAGTTTGATCCAGTTACCAGTTTGACCCACTTTGATCCAGTTGAATCCAGTTCGATCCAGTTTTACTTCTTCTACTTTTTATTTCTATAGATTCTGATATTTTTTTTCTTGCATGCCATGCCATTACAATTAGTTGTTTGATTTTACATTTTTTGTTTTGTTTTTATTCTATTTACATTGATTCTGTAAATTTTCCCTTCCCTTCCAAGCCACCAAGGTTCATGAGATAGACTATAAATACATTCTCAAACCAGTTTCCTAATCAAGTGCCTTAAAGACGAGAAGTCTTTTTTCATTCCATTACATTTCATTCCATTTTTTCTTCTAACTTTAGACGAGAAGTTTTACATTCAAAACGTCTGTTTGTCAGATTCTATGTCAAATTCTAGATCTCAGAATTGATGGATGTTACTAGTCTAAATTTAAATTTACCATAAAATAGAGAGTAAAACGCGAGAAGCAATTTGTAAATGTTTGTGTTTTTTATTATACATTCTCCATATATAGATTTGTAACTTTTTTGTTCAATAAAAAATATAAGTATAAATAATCAGAATAATTTTGATATCTGATGGAAACTGGCACAATGTCATGTCGGTTGTCTGTTGCGTGAAAATTACACTAATAATAATATTCTGACCCACTGCAAATCGTAAACTCAGTCTAAAATTCGATCTAGTACTGTCATTTTGGAATTATAGAATGGACGTAAGACAACCCTAACAGTCTGATTTGATTTAATTTGAGAGAGAGAGAGAATTTCTTATTTCTACGCATTTTCTTTGTTGAATATTTCTGATAAATGAAAACAAATATTTTCGACCTCTTCTCTTTGTTATTTGTCAGGGAATTAATTAATAGAAACTGATTTCATTCATTAATTCATTTATCTCCTCTACTTATCAACTCATCAGCCCATCAACCCACTAACCCATCAACCCATCCACTCATTAACCCATCAACCCATTAACCCATCAACCCATCAACCCATCCACTCATCCACTCATCAACCCATCAAACCATCAACCTATCAACCCATCAACCCATCAACCCATCAACCCATCAACCCATCAACCCCTCAGCCCCTTAACTCATCAATCCATCAACTACTCAACCCATCAACCCATCCACTCATTAACCCATCAACCCATCAACCTCTCAGCCCCCTAACCCATCAACCCATCAACCCATCAGCCCCTTAACTCATCAACCCATCAAATACTCAACCCATCAACCCATTCACTCATTAACCCATCAACCCATCAACCCATCAACTTATCAACCCCATCAACCCATCCTCTCATCATCTAAATTCTTCAGAGAGCGTGAATACTCCAAGAGCACGAGCAGTGGAAGCTTTAAGATTGATAAAACACTTTGATGAGTTCCTGGACGGAGAGACTTCGGTATCTCCGGTCTTCATGGATAAATCCAGGTGGAATACTTTTACAGGGATTTATTTTCATCCTTTTCCCTTTTTATTATTTTTTGAGGGACTAAGTGTAATTTCAAGAGAACTCCCTATGCTAAGATGGCAAAGATGGTACCCTCAAAACTTGAGAGCTTTGCATTAAGTATGCATTAGATATCAAGTTTTATTTATAATTTTAAAAACTGATAGATTTCAATCGTGCTTGCCCTGCAAATGGGACTTGCGCCTTTTCTACTGCAGGAAAGCATATTGGTAGCATCAAAAATCAGCACAGAAAAACGACAATATCTTCCACATTATTTATCAAATAAAGGTTTCAAGGGTACCGTTGTGAATAGGAAATTTCCAATTTTACATGGAGGGTTAGTTGAATTTTCTTTTATTGCTGAATCGGTGAGAAAAAATTTCTTATGAATTATATAAAATTAGTGGGATTAAAAGCTATCCAGTTCTTTACCCCGGTCCTCTCAACAAATCTGTTTCTAAAATTATAATACACGTAGTTTCTGTTTTAAAAGCTATTAATGTAAAGATAGTTCCAGTTCTTTACCCCGGTCCTCTCAACAAATCTGTTTCTAAAATTATAATACACGTAGTTTCTGTTTTAAAAGCTATTAATGTAAAGATAGTTCCAGTATTTACCCCGGTCCTCTCAACAAATCTGTTTCTAAAATTATAATACATGTAGTTTCTGTTTTAAAAGCTATTAATGTATAGATAGTTCCAGTATTTACCCCGGTCCTCTCAACAAATCTGTTTCTAAAATTATAATACTCGTAGTTTCTGTTAAAAATCTTTAATCTTATATCTCATGAAAAGTTCAAAGTTTTGAGTTTTCAGCCTTCATTCAGTCATTAGACAAGAAGATCAGTTATCAATTATCATTCATAAAGTTGCGGGACTATTTCAGATGTTTATTAAATACCCGTCCATCGTCCAACACTAGAAAGTTCTTAAATTATAATATTTAAATCAATTAGCTTCGTGTAAAGAGTTTAAATAAGGAGAGCCATATGGCATAAACACGTGGAATTCCCCCGCCCCCATTTTTTTATTGAACAAGGAATTTAATGATATGTCGTGAATTTCGATAAGACTGCTCTTTGAGAATGTAAAAAAAATAATTTGCTCAGCGGGAAATATTTTTCAAAACATGTTTTAGATCTGTTTTGAAACCATACGACAATTAATGCATAGAAATTAAGTTAACTGGAAAATACCGCTTCACATATTTTAATTAAATTAATATTAACGCGTTCTAAAAAATATGAATATGAATGAATTCACACGGTATTGTGGGCAAACTTAAAGGGTCTGTCTATGTATTTTGAATGAACCACAAACTTAATATGAAGATTTACATTCACAAGGCACCTTGAAAACCCTTTTCTGAGCAAAATAGATATAGGTATCATCTCAAAATAGATATAGGTATCATCTCAAAATAGATATAGGTATCATCTCAAAATAGATATAGGTATCATCTCAAAATAGATCTAGTTATCATCTCAAAATAGATATAGTTATCATCTCAAAATTTCATATTTTTAATTAAAATTATTTTTTCATTCAAAAGTGACTTGAATGTTTATGCAATAGAGACAAATAATGAAAGAGAAATGTGAAAAATAAGTTAAAAACCTAAAAATATGGTTTAGATACAATAATTTTTGATAAGATTAACCACCATTTAGTATACCGAAAAATGTGCAGAAATTAATATTATATTTTAAAGAACAACTGCATTTGCAGAAATCTTCTAAATTTACATTAAAGGAAAAATTCATGCCTATTAGTATATTTTTTAAATGGAATCGAGTGAAGAATAAAATGTTTTAGACTGTACGAAGCTGCAGATATAATCCAGAAGTTAAACTTGATTGGACAGGAACTACCAGAGAAGGAGTTCAGTCATGCCAGGTTGGTTGGTTGGTTGGTTGGTTGGTTGGTGGGTTGGATGGTTGGTTGGTTGGTTGGTTGGTTGGATTATGTATTTCAGGAGGTCTATTGATACTAAATACAACGAGATTATGTATTTTTGGAGATCTATTGATGGTAAATACAACGAGATTATTTATTTTAGGAGATCTATTGATGCTAAAAACAACGAGATTATGTATTTTTGGAGATCTATTGATGGTAAATACAACGAGATTATTTATTTTAGGAGATCTATTGATGCTAAAAACAACGAGATTATGTATTTTAGGAGATCTATTAATGCTAAATACAACGAGATTATGTATTTTAGGAGATCTATTGATGCTAAATACAACGAGATTATGTATTTTAGGAGATCTATTGATGCTAAATACAACGAGATTATGTATTTTAGGAGATCTATTGATGCTAAATACAACGAGATTGAAAAAGCCTTGATAGAAGAGTTTATTAAGCACCATAGGTTAGTTTCAACTTATCAAATCAAATCAAATCACAATGGGTGGGGATGGCAATGAACTCCAGTATGGATTGGAGGATAAAAGGCTGATCACTCAAGTAACAATCTAGTGTGACTTTAAAAGTTTTTTTTCATTTCTTTTATTTATTACGTTACAAAGTGTAAATCAAAAGTGAAAACCAGCAAACTGTTGAATAGGAGACGACAGTAAAGAAATACTTTTGTTTTTGTTACAAAGCAAATAGTTTTACTACTAAGTTATGAAATCACTTATTTAGATGAAGGGGTCTGTCACAATTGCTGTGTTCATAAATCATAACGTTAAAAAATATGCTTTTAAAGTTTTCTGGGTCTCGCTGTAGGAAGATTTTTAAGCTTTTATAAATGTAGTGAACCATGATTTTTAAATGCCAGGGTTAAGGGTTTTAGTCATTTCAAGACGACGACATGTCTAGCTACATATCAAGAAATTGTCATGTTTAATGTGACACCCTGTTATATCAATTAATATTTTTTAAATTTGAACTTGCAGATTTTTTAAATGAGTGACATGTTCGATTCACCACGGTTTATTTTTTATACCTTTTGTCAGAGCAGAAATCCCATCTTTTTTCTCTGAAAAATTTATTAGTTTCAATTTCGGGTTTCTGTTAAAACAACTTATGCAGCAGAATAAAGATAGAAAATTGACCAATATCTTACACAATGATTCAATGAAGGGGTAAAGGGTAACATTGTGAATCTGACATGTGATGCTCTCTATATTGAGGGTCAATAGAAATTGCGGACACAGTTTCAAGCTAACAAATATAAAAATTAAATGATTATACTTTTTAAAAACAAAACTGTATTTCAAGTTGAGTTTTTCAAAGTTTATTGACTCAAAATTTTCGGGTTTTTCTCAGTGACATCCTGAAAACTGCGAATTAGTAAGACGACATTAAAGCAACAATTAAGTGCATTTGATAGTGATACAAAAATAGTTTTGAAATTAACTTATTAAACCACCTATTCATTGAAATGGATCATCACACAATTGCTGTGTCCTGTTTATTGGACTATTTGAAGTCATAACTTTAAACTGAAGTCGTCTTCCTAAGCCAGAATTTTCAGTCCTCACTTTATTTTAAAACTTTTTGTTAAGATCTGATGATAAGGTGAAAATGGCTGAACTAGCGGTAATCCTTTCACACTTCAGGTAGATTTTTCTTTTCAAATCACATTTTAATTTTGTTGAGCTGTGATAAAAATTTACAAATTTTTTTTTAACGATGTATTTGTCAACTGTTAATAATGATAATAAAGTGGTTGTAATAAGAAAAGTAAAAATTAACAGAAAATATTTGATAAAAGATCGGGCCGAAAACCAAAATGCGGGAAGAATTTGAAACTGTCTCATATGAAGGATGCCTTAAGCAATCCCTTTAAAGCACGATTTGATTTGATTTGACTCGATTTGGTTTGATTTGATTAGATTAGATTAGATTAGATTAGATCAGATTTGATTTTGATTTTGATTTTGATTTTGATTTGATTTTGATTTTGATTTTGNCCTTAAGTTATCTAATCAAGGATTACTATTTTTATTTACATTCAACCTACATTTGAAGTATCATGTCCTTCAGGCTATGATAAATTGAGCTACAGGGTCACTGATTCCTTTAGTTCTCTAATCAAAGATCATTATTATTAACATTCAACCTACAGTCAAAGTATCATGTCCAGCAGGCTATGTCACATTGAGCTCCAGGGTCCCTGATTCCTTTAGTTCTCTAATCAAGGATTATTATTATTAACATTCAACTTACAGTCAAAGTATCATGTCCAGGAGGCTATGTTACATAGAGCTCCTGGGTCCCTGATTCCTTTAGTTCTTTAATCAAGTATTATTATTATTATTATTAACATTCAACCTGCAGTCAAAGTATCATGTCCAGCAGGCTATGTCACATTGAGCTCCAGGGTCCCTGACCCTGATTCCTTTATTTCTCTAATAAGGATTATTATTATTATCATCATTCAACCTACAGTCAAAGTATCATGTCCTTCAGGCTATGTTACATTGAGCTCCAGGTTCCCTGATTCCTTTAGTTTTCTAATCAAGCATTATTATTATTATTAACATTCAACCTACAGTCAAAGTATTATGTCCTCCAGGCTATGTCACATTGAGCTCCAGGGTCCCTGATTCCTTTAGTTCTCTAATCAAGCATTATTATTATTCAACCTACAGTCAAAGTATCATGTCCAGCAGACTATGTCACATTGAGCTCCAGGGTCTCTGATTCTTTTAGTTCTCTAATCAAGGATTATTATCATTAACATTCAACCTACAGTCAAAGTGTCATGTCCAGCAGGCTATGATACATTGAGCTCCAGGGTCACATTGATAGATCTTGAGAGAATGCAGCGTAGTATTTTCCAGCTCTCTTCTTTGTTCCTGGCTTTGCTGTAAGGAGGCTGCTGGGCCTCGTCTTCCACAGATTATTATTATTATTAACATTCAAACTACAGTCAAAGTATCATGTCCTTCAGGCTATGTCACATTGAGCTCCAGGGTCCCTGATTCCTCTAGTTCTCTAATCAAGGATTATTATTATTATTAACACTTTACCTACAGTCAAAGTATCATGTCCTTCAGGCTATGCCACATTGAGCTTTAGGGTCCCTCGCCCTGATTCCTTTAGTTCTCTAATCAAGGATTATTATTTTTATTAACTTTCAACCTATAGTCAAAGTATCATGTCCAGCAGTCTATGTTACATTGAGCTCCAGGGTCCCTGATTCCTTTAGTTCTCCAATCAAGGATTATTATTATTATTAACATTCATTATTATTAACAGTCACAGTATCATGTCCAGCAGGCTATGTTACATTTAGCCCCAGGGTCCCTGATTCCTTTAGTTCTCTGATTAAGGATTATTATTATTATTAACATTCAACCTACAGTCAAAGTATCATGTCCAGCAGGCTATGTCACATTGAGCTCCAGGTAGGGCTGGGAAATTCCGATTATTTCGAAATTTTTCCGTTTCGTTCTAGATTGGGGCCTTCAGCTAAATCGTTCCGTTCTTGTTCCTTTTTTATCTCTCCGTTCTCGTTTCGTTCTGTTCTGAGTAGAAGACTGGTCTTCCCGTTCCGTTCCATTCTTGGCGTTCTTATTTAAAGAATAGTTCCATCCCTCACGTTCCGTTCTTAGTCAAAGAACGTTTCCTTCCCTCATTCTGTTCTTAGTAAAGAACAATTCCATCCAAGACAAAAAAAGTTTTATAGAAAAGAGTTGGTTAAAAAGTAAAAAAATATACGATTTTAAAATAGAAAACCTTTATTTCTCTAATCAAGGATTATTATTATTAATAAAATTCAACCTACAGTCAAAGTATCATGTCCAGCAGGCTATGTAACATTGAGCTCCAGGGTCCCTGATTCCTTTAGTTCTCTAATCAAGGATTATAATTAATATTAACATTCAACCAACAGTCAAAGTATCATGTCCAGCTGGCTATGTCACATTGAGCTCCAGGGTCCCTGGTCCTGATTCCTTTAGTTCTCTAATCAAGGATTATTATTATTATGATCATTCAACCTATAGTCAAAGTATCATGTCCAGCATTCTATGTTACATTGAGTTCCAGGGTCTCTGATTCCTTTAGTTCCCTAATCAAGGATTATTATTAACATTCAACCTACAGTTAAAGTATCATGTCTTTCGGGCTATGTCACATTGAGTTCCAGGGCCTCTGGCCCTGATTCCTTCAGTTCTCTTATCAAGGATTATTATCATTAACATTCAACCTAAAACCAGAAGGGCCAGGCTAAAGGGTCACGCTTCTGCTCACTTACGAAATCATGTATTACCATCTAACATTAATAAATATTATTGTTAAAGGGGATACAACGAGTGTGTGAATGCATTTATTGAGCAGATCCAACTAACATCTCTACGGGGGAAGGATCCCTTTAAGGACATAGTTCCTCTTTGTAGACAAAGTTGGGACACCATCAGCCAGGTTATTCTTCATATTTTTCGCTCCAACATTTTCCAGTGATATTTTATCTTTGGACAGTATTATCATTTATCTATTTTGATATAAATGCACACATAATTCTGTTCTTTATTGTTAAAGGAACTCCCCCGTAAACTATGATCTTATAATAATTACATCTTTCCAACCTGATGATTTGATTTGATTTGTACAATGTACACCTTTGATATTAAAGACTGTTAAAGTTTAAATATCAGATTGCTAAGTTGCCGTCTGAATTCTAAAATACGAAAAATGATCGAAATAAATTGTTGTTGAAGGTGTTTCCGTCTCCTTCTAATGTGATGGCAAAATTTGTGTTAAACATTTATTATGTTAAACTCAAGGAATACATTACAGACAAACTTCAGGTACTTACCTACCTACCTACCTACTTACCTATCTACCTACCTACCTGCCTACCTACCTACCTACCCACCTACCCACCTACCTACCTACCTACCTACCTACCTACCTACCTACCTACCTACCTACCTAGGATAAGAATGATACCGAGAAGTACTTGAAGAACCTGTATTTCCTGTACTCCCAAACCATTAAGCTGAATTCTGATCTCTCCAACTATAATCTGGGTTCAGATCATCTCTTCCTCTCTAGGCTAACCAAGGTACTAGACGTCGGTTTAGTCTGTTATTTTTCAAATTTTGATTCTGTGCAGTATATTGCATTTCCATCCCCTAATTCGAAAACTAATAAGACATAATTTTATTTGAATTTTATTGCACAATAATCACTAAAGAATTCACTTCTGAAAGTATAGTTAGTGCGCAGGTGGTCTCATTTCACATTAGACCAAACGTTGCATAATCCGAACTGGTGCGAGGAAACCATTCTAGAGTTTTTTTCGTACCAGCCCGTCTAGTTTACCTGACCCAGTACTAGACCCAACGGCTTGTCTTTAACATATTTTCTTGGAAATCATATCCGCTATTTTACCTAAGAGTTTACTTAAAGGGAGTGACCGGCAATGTATGGTAGTTGAACTGAAATCATCCATTTGGGCTGTTACGTTTTGAAAATCGTTTTTTTTTTAATTCAAAAAATAACGAAGACAAAATATGTAATACAAATTCTACAGTATACTTGTTAGTTGATTAGGAACATATTTCTAAATAGAAATTTTCTCAATGAATCAAAGTTAGAATCAATTATTTCTTTTTCATTAATATATTTTTCTTATGTTTATAGTAAATTTTAATTTTCTCAACCTGTCCCTTAAAAACTAATTAGTTGACTGTAAAATTGTTACTGCATTTTTTGTTTTCGTTATTGAATAATTTTTAAAAACCCAATGCTCACAATCATCCCTAAGACATGAACAATCTATGAGGATTTTAAAGATTGAATTTGCGCTCTTGCTGAACAAAGATGCACCGTAAACACGTCACCTAGGTCTCAAATGATTCCTAAAAAATTTCTCCCCAATACTACATTCTCAGTTAAACTTCCACACATTGCCGGTCACTCACTTTAAGCTTGCACTTATCTAAAATATCTGTTTCTATATTGTGAAGTTGTGAAATTTCTAGTGCGCTTTGTTTACAAGCGCTGCATTATATTGAGGTAAACTAATGCTTTTTTCTGTGGAAAAATATGTTTCCTACATTTCCCTTCACTCGCTTTCCTTTTTCCCCTTCCCTTCCCTTTTCTTCTCAGCTTCCTCTTTCATTCCTTTTATTCATCCCTGCGAAAAAAAGAGAACAAAATTCTATTTTAAGTTGATACTATTGTGATTCCGAGAGAAGAGAACGGACACTTGGTGTTAAGAAGACATATCTGGGAACCGGTATTGAACAACTCACTTGAAACATACTTTTTAACAAAACTTAGATTACTTTTTTTCTAGGATATTTTCAGTCGGTATTTAGAAACATACATCAACATTGAGTCTAGATATCTCAACGATAGGTTAGAATTTAAGAATTCTCTCAACGATAGGTTAGAATTTAAGAATTCTCTCTGAGTTTACGCAATATCATTAATTGTATTGAAGCAAGTGTTTGTATTTTCAACTTTCAAGAAAAGAAAATGATTTTCGAAGATTTCGGGGGGAGGGAAAATTATGAAAACCTGGCCCCCCCCAGATTAATTTTCCCTCACGAGGATTATACTTTTCTATGTGATATTTATATTGTATAAATTCTAATCTTCGTGCAATAAATATTTGATTTGATTTGATTTGATTTGAACCTTCCTAAATACAGCAAAATAAAACTGAAGCATTTTGAAGAGAGTTTTGGAGGGTATTTTATTCTTGTGTGTTCAGAGCTCGGACTGTTCTACAAAAATACTATGAAAACCAAGGACATCAGAGGAAACAAATGTCAGGTGAAATATTAGCTTTAAATTTAAGCTTTAATTTTACAGAATTCTCTTACATAAAAATATATGATTTTTCCATACGATTATCAAGTCCAATGTACTATACCCCATGCTAAAAACTCCGGTGAAGAGTGGTGCGCCGCCTTTAATTGACTATGCAGTTAGGGAAAGTTGTACCTGGAGAATTCAATTTTCAAACACTTGAGAGTTTTAAGGAGACTTTTGGAGCTCAGAGAAAATATGTAGCTTAACAATAAATGAATGAAAATGTTTCCTTTGCGACAAGATACCGCGTCTTATTTTTTAATTCTGTTTGGATTTTCCTCATGAAATTTCGGTTTTGATGGATCTGGATTTTATTTATGAATTTTAATCACAGGCGGGGTCGGTACAGTACAAGAATTGAAGCGCGAAATGCACGGATTGATTGCTGCTCGCACGAATTTCAACCTTGCTGAGATCCTTGATTATGGCGGGAAAACATTTCTCTCAGATGATATAGCGATCATGATCATTCAGGAGGCGAGAGAAGCATTTAGGAAAACAAAAGAATAAAATAAGGATCAAGCTTAGAAAGTTCATATTATTTTATAATGATCTTTTATCTTGCACTCCGCCAGTTGGCCACAATAAACTTGTGTCGTAACCAATTGTGACATTAACTACAGTTTTTACGATATATATTTTTTTTTACGGAGACTCAACCCTAACTTATACGGAATGATGGTTGATTGTTTGTTTGGTTATTTATTGCTATAATTAACGTTTATTCATCATTTATCTCATCTCATTTTCTCTCCAATCAAATAGCTCTAGTTTTTTTATTTTGATCTTTTCTTATATCTTTTGTTATTTGTCAGACGATGTCAAGTATTGTCCAAGCCCAGTGAGTTGTCCAGTAATGCTATGGAGATTTTTAATATTTTAGGAACAATTATCAATTCAATATATAATATAATTTATAAATTTAGAGACGATTTATCAAAAATTAATCTAACAAACAAGTTTGAGTAGTTATATAAGTCTTGAGAGTTCTTTATTTTGTAAGTTTTGTGTACAATATATAGTTGTTGTTTAATTCTTCAGAATTGTGTATTTCGTAAGTTTTGTGTCAATTTAATTAGCTGTTTAATTATTGAGAGTTATGTTCTTTGTAAGTTTAGTGTACATTGTAAACAAGTTGTCTGAACTGTGGAAATAATGACATGTGTCAGTGTGTCGGGTATGTAATCTTAAGTTTTACGAATTATTTATTTTAAAATTAAATTGAATTTGATTTGTTTCTAGTTTCGTACCTTCTACATTATCATGTGGATTATGCTGTAGAACTAGGCGGGTCTTTAAACCATTAATTAATATTTTTAAAATTTTATTTGATTTAATTTTTTAATTGGTTTATTTAGTGTGTTTACGTTTATATATCACGGGTGTGATAATTTAAAACATCTCTTTTCCGACTTCATTGGCCGTTTAGGAATTCAGCCAATTATCGAGCTTGTTTTTGAAAATGTTCAGGTTTCCAGCACTTTTGATTTCATATGGAATATCATTCCATATATTGATAACTCTTGCACTAAACAAGTTTCTTCGTATTTCGGTGTGCACAACAGGTAACTTCAGATTCAACAAATCACTGGACAATCTGGTTTTTCTTTCATTTTCACCAGGTACAATGTACATAGGCTGAGCTAAACCATTTGTTTTTATCCACATGATCATATCCTCCGTTACGCAGCCTCTTCCTTCTCCAGTCATCAAACATGTTTTTAATGTTTATTACAAGGGGGAGAACGCTTCCAACCGTGCTTTTAGTCCAAAACCGATACTCAATGACATTTTTGGAACAATTCACAGTTAAGAACTTTCTCCCCCTGCATTGAAAAACTATAAACATAAGCTAATTAGACTTAGAAATGTTTTCTTCCTTAACGGAATGAAAATGCCACTTAAAGTATTTAAGACCACGTGTCTCTAGGGTTGGCCGGAATACCACTTCCGGAAACTAAAGTTCCGCCGGAAACGTATTTCTTTGATATTATTCGGCAGACAAATACAATCATCTTTCTTGTGGACAAGTTATTCTCAGGTAGAAATACAAATTATTAAATTGAAAAATTAAAATTTGTTAAAGAATTTAGTTTAATGTTAGTTTATATTGATTTAAAGAGCTACATTGAAATATGGAAATGCATTCCATCATATATAAATAGTAGACTGAAGGATCAATGGCATTTTATTATTGCTTACTGATATAACTCAAAATGTGCCCTATCTTTTTTTCACAGATATGTCTACTGTCGAGTCATTATTGTTACAATTTTAACAAACAAAAAGTAAACTAATTCTGGTTCTGAAGTATTGTGTTGGGTTAAGTTTTTGATTTTATTATTATGCTAAATACGAACGTCGAATATAATAAAGGATCTCTCTTTACTTATAAAATATACAATAATTATTAAGTTACCTTTGCCTTCTTTTAAACAGGCACATCAAGTAACATCAGCAATCAGGGAATGTGCTAGGGAGATCGAAATCACGTCGGCAATGACCGGTGCATACTTTTTGAGCTCTGATGTAGAACCTGCTCCCCCCCACCCTTCTTCCACATTTAATTAACAGAAAAATTCAAATATGCATCTCAATTCTTTCATGCTTATCCTTGGGCAGTGAATGTTACAGGGTATATTTTTGAAGCATTTATGACACTGTTAAAGGGAATGTAAGCATAATTTCAAGTGACCCTCCATGCTTATGGGGCAACGGTACCCATAAAACCTTTGTGTGTCCATCGAAAACAGAGATTTGTGTGTGTAAATATATCGAAGCCCGCTTGTATTTGTATTCCAGTGTACGTTAAGTTCACCAAGAACTAAACAAAGCGTACACTGGAATACAAGCGGGTTTCGTTAAGTTTACTCACGCATATCTCTGTACTAAACAAACACAGATTTTAAGGATACCGTTTTAAACCGGACATTGCCCTCTGTACATGGAGGGTCATTTGAAATCATACTTACAGTCTCTTTAAATATCAAAAATTTTCTTTAAAGATAGCCTGGTGCCTCTGGTGGTATCCACCTCTAAGCATGCAGACTGCCTCCAGACCAAGAAGAATGAATGGGAGAAACTTGAATCTAAACTTGATACAGGTAATCACAAATATATATAGATAGATAGATAAATATTTCGACAGGTAATCACAAATATATATAGATAGATAGGTATATATTTCGACAGGTATCACAAATATATATTCATATATAAATATATATTTCGACAGGTAATCACAAATATATATTCATAGATAGATATATTTTTCGACAGGTAATCACAATTATATATAGATAGATAGAAATATATAGATAGATAGATATTTATTTCGACAGGTAGTCACAAATATATATTCATAGATAGATATATTTTTCGACAGGTAATCACAATTATATATAGATAGATAGAAATATATTTCGAAAGGTAATCACAAATATATATAGATAGATAGATAGATATATATTTCGACTAATTTTAACACATTTTTAAAAATTACACAGATACACTTATAAAAATAATAAATTCATTATGAAAAAAAGCAAAGGAAAGATAAGTTTATGAGGATAAACGGGAAGGAAAAAGGAAAAATGTAATTACATACTGCTGATATTAGTATAGTAATTTGTATATCACATAAAACGGGAGAAAATTGGAAGCCCAACACAGCTTTGCAAAAACGGAGCAGGATCATTTGCTATTAACTCACTTGCTATCAACTCAATTGTAATCAAAATCAGTTGCTATCAGCCTCACTTGCTATCTAAACATTTGCTATCAAACTAATTTACTATCAATTCAGTTGCGATCACATTCATTTGCTATAAAGCCTCATTAGCTATCTGGCATCAACTGCTATCGACACATTTGCTATCAAGCCTCACTTGCTATTAGGCCAATTTGCTATCAATCCTTAGTTGCAATCAACAATTTTGTTATCAATCATCATTTACTGTAAAATTTTCGACTTCCTCTCAATCCTTATTTTTACCAATTTTTTTCTCCTAAATATCTGCAAAAAATGGAAACATTTCTCAACATTTGGAATTCTTTATTTTCTGGCAAACTTTGCGTGGGCATGAAACCGCCTCATTTTGTTTCCCCAAGATAAGGTATCAACCTTTTGAAAGATATTAATAAATACCTTTATTTTCACTACAAAGACAAGGTATAAAATACACAGGCCACTTACAGGTGCCAGAAATACAGAAACGTATGCAAAGTACATAGTTCTTCTACAAAATGAATTCAACGAACATGCTTTTATAGCAACTTATTTATTCACAGAGAAAGCAGAGAAAATGAAATATTATCAAAACTTAGCCATGTTCTAAACTGCTTCGAATTTCGTTTGTTTCTAAAACTGTTTATCAACAGGGTTTAAGGGGTAAGGGGGGGATTTTACTAATCAATAATACTACATACAATCTACAGAGGAAAAATTTGATAGATTTGGACCCGGATCCAGGTCATAAGTATTTCTTAAAAATTAACTGACATTTTGAACAAAAGAAGAATTTTTCACTTTTTTTTCTTGTTTCGTTTATCTTTATGCCAAAACTCGATGATATGGAAAATTTCTGTTTTAATAGTTCAGATTTGGGTTTTAAGAGCAAACTATAATTTTTTAACAGTTTTAGGTTGATATTTTGTCTTGGAACCAGATTCGTGGATCCGCAATCCGCATATTTTTGAAGATCCAGGAAGCCGATATGTTACGGATCCGAATCCTAAGTGCTGTATATTGTATTTAGGACTGGATCGTAGTATTGCTACTATCGCTGGTTGGATCAAAACTATTTTAACAACTGAGCAGAAGAAAACCGATTACAACCCACAGGTGCTGTTTTTTTAAATCTTTTTTATTTTAAAAATGTTGTGCTCTAGTTTTGCATGTTGCGTTGGTTCCCATTTGGAAATATTCGATTAATTCTGTTTTTATCTCTCGCAAAATTCCATGCAAAAAAGTTATAATGGAGATATGAGAGAAAATTTGTTCGACATTGTGCGTTACGGGTTGTGGTGGTGGTATTGGGGGGAAGGGGAGAGGAGAGGCTATCTGAAAAATGTCCTATTTTTTTTATTTCTCAGGGTGGTGAAGCTATAGCTGTTGCAAGCGGTGCCTGTCTCAAAGTTGTAAAATGGATAGCTGAATTAACTAAGAAGATCAGGAAAATAATTTTTAATAACTTAAAAATGCATTTTTTTCTACGCATTTGAAATTATTTTCGTTGAAAACACATTTGAAATCATTTTTGTTTAAATGAATGCTATATACAGCATTTTTTTAATTTGAACATTTCTTTTTAAGTAATATTTGAAAAAAAATGTTGGTTCAGGGACTCTCTTGATGGACGAAATTTAGAATGGGTTCTTCAAGAGTTAGGAATTCGATTACACAGGTGACAACCCCCCCCCCCCCATTCGTCGACCATCCCATTCCTGAGGAAACTGCTTTATTATGAGATGATTTCTCTTAAATTAGCTATTTTTTTCGTTATCTATGAAACCAGGGACCGAATTTAATAAATTTGAGCTAGGTCGTTGAACTGCCTGCTAGACCTAGCTGAAATTCAAAAAATCCTGTCCCAAATATTGCAAACTTTGAGTTGGTAGATTTTTTGCTGTTTCTCCTCCTTAGTTGCTTAAAAGTTGTATTTTGTAGCCGTTAAAATTCTAAAAATTTGCCCTGAACTTATATAGAGATAAAAATCATTTTAAACAATTGAAAATGAATTCGTAGTTGTTTCTTGTTTATTCACAAGATGGAACTTTTGTGTAGAGTATTGTAATTCTTGAATTCTTGATCTCCATATCCAATGTGGGCACTTTTATTGTTGAGAATGCTTGTCTTTAATGATCTGAGGCCGAATTTAAAGAATTTGAGCCGCGGCTCAAATATGGTGGGTTCCACTTAAAATTGTATTCAATGTTTTAAGATATAAGCCGGCGCTCAACTGAAACCGGTTTTTGGCGGCTCAAATTCATTAAATTCGGACTGTGGTCTGCATAAGATGAAGATCGATGCTTGAGCATATCATCCTGAGGTTCTCAAAAAAAAAGTTATGGCCTCGGGACAGATGAATTTTTCCAAATCAAAATCAAATATTTCAATAGCACTATTTCATAATGATGAAAAGTTTTCTTTGAAATATTTTTTTTTTACTTATTTAATAGTCCTGGACCAAACAATAACAAAACTAATTTCTTTTGTTAGGAATATTTAATATTTGATATTGTGTTGTTAAAAAATATGAAAATGGATTTATCGCACAAAGAGGGAGGGAAGGCACACCGCATTAATTTTTCGTCTGCACTGCAAAAACTTCACAAACATTATCCCTCTACGGTTCGGTAAACACCAGTTTAATTGGCCTTTTCAACTAGCTCCAGTAGCTGCATTGTTGTTATTGTTTACATTGTACCACTATATAAACCTGTCTAGTTAATATACAATCAGTCAGTCTTTACTCTTCTATCTATTGGAACTGGTTCATTGTTGTTGTTGTTGTTCTTGATACAAAGAACTTGTTGCGAATAATATGGACTGTTTTTAAGAGATTGCAGGAATACACATCAGCTGCTTTTAACTGATTGAGAACTTAATATTATTCAAATTTAAAGTTACACGGGGAACAAATTTAATGATTTGGAGAGGTTATTGAACTCTCTTCTGCCGGTTCATATCTTGAATCATAGATTCAAATCCTCATACATCTTTAACTTTGAATGGTTGATTCAAGATTTGAACCAACAGATGTATAGTTCAGATACCCATCTCAAATTCATTAAGTTTGGCTTAAAACTTTCAGATAAATACTTATTTAATCAATTATATAAAATTATTGTTTAGGACTGTTTATGAGCACCTGATGCAGTTCCAGTTTGCGTCTGCTGGGGCAATGACGTTGATTTGTGATATGCAGGTTGGTACAAGATTGAGTTTAAAAAAGGTTAAAACTTAAAAACAAACAAGTAAAATCCCGATCATGAAACATTTTGGCATGATAACAGATGACAGTTGCTAAACTAAATACAATTTTTACTTTAAGGGGGGGGGGGTGATTTTCACGGGGCAAATAAATAAATTTCTGGGTAAAAGTTAGAAAAATCTTGCCTGTTTGTTTATGTTCAATTTTCCTTTTCCCTCTTAGATCTTGAAAAATCATTTTTGAAAATATACACCCTTGTGAATACCGGAAGTGTATTTGGTAGGAGTACCGGAAGTGTGTATCTGACTGGAAGGTTGGAACAGTTACCGCACTGTTTGAGACCCTACATGCAATGTGTAACCTTCTAATCCTTCCTCCTGAGAACCTGAGAGGTGCAGCTATGGGTGATCAACTGGCTAACATGGATAAAGGAATTCTCGACAATTGGCTTCAGCTTAGAGTTGATTATAAAACTGCTCGACTTGCAAACTGTTTATAAACATCTTGTTTATCTTTCAATTAGGGTTTCCAATCAGAATTGCGCAGTCGGTTCACAAATAGCGGGGAATTGCGTGGAGTTTAGGGGGCTCGCAATTGCGCGCAAGTAAAATCCATTTGCATTGGAAACCCTACTTCCAATTCAGATTCTATAAAAATGTGTTCAAGAAAAAAAATATTGGTAAACAGTTTATAATGATCTTCATTTCGTTATTCATACATTTTATATATTTATATATTGGTTCTATGCTATACAATACATTCCTTAAAGAAACTATGTAGAAATATGTTTTTTGTAGAAATTACAAAATAAAACTTTCAACTCTGTTGGAAAATGATAAATGATAGATAATTCTCCTATTTTCAGACCAAATATGGCAGGGCTGGTTTCTTGTTTGCTGAAGGGGGTTCAGCTCACAAATTTCTGTTCTAATAATCTTTCAAATACAATAAGCGTTCTTGGAACACTTAGTCAAGTCAGATTCAAGTCAAAGTAAGTAAATGTTCCCCTAGTTAAACTAAGTTAAATGGTTCTGTTGACGTTATTTCAATTTACCCTCCGTTCAAATTATTATACTTCCAATTCACAATGGTGTCCTGTAAACTTTTCTCTAAGCAAAAATAAAAGAGTTATCGACTTGCTTTTCTATCTGAACATTGATTAGTTTTATTTACGGGTTCTGTAAAACTGACTTGTGTATTTTTTGACCAGAAACAAGGGAAGGAAATTGAGAAAATTAAGATCTTTGACAGAATATTATAAATATTAAAGATGGCTAAATGGAACCGTTTATGTAATGCTTCTATTTTAGGGTCACTTGAAATTATGTGGATAGTTAATTAGTAAACTTGAGTTAAATTAACCATAAAAAAAGATTATGAAAAGTAATTAATTTTTGTCTCATACTAATTGCCATTATCATTTATTTTTAAGTATCACAGTTTCTAGGAAAACATGATTATTTTTTTCCAAATGAACTGATTTTTTTTGGTAAGTTAACCTTTCATGATTGTTGAAGTACAGTACATTTCTATTTAATTCTTACTTACTTGTGTACTTGAAGTCTTGAATCTAGCGCCCCACTGATAGAGGGACATTGTAGATACATCTTTCAGATCTTCCATTCTGGTAAATTCATTTTTTCATTCAGTTTCCTTCAGTTATCATAGCCTTGGCTGCATCCTCATTGCCTGAAGACTTTATTTGATTCACAGGCTCCTGAATCTTTCTAATCTGGATTACTGCCTGGTCGCTTGCAGCAACAGTTTCCATAATCTTGCACACAGTTTTTTCTAGATTAGTTAATCTTTGCTCAATTATCTTTCTAGGAAATTGCACATGGTTCGCATTTTCATGAATGATCCTGCCCTTGATCTTTCATCTCAACCAGTAATTTGACTTCTACAAAAATGATTAAATGATCAATATTACTGAATACTAGGTTGATAATTATTTATTTTTTAGAGTTAAACCCAAACCTACTCGTCCTTGGACTGGAACAAATCATTATAATCATAAGGCAAGGAATCATATTTATCATAAAATCAGAATTATTATTAAAAAAATATTTCCTCAAAAATCATTCATCCACCCTCCCTAAAAAGAAATATTAGGATTTTTTTGGCAAATGCCAGATTTTTTAAAGGGTTAATTATTTGATTTTTAGGGGGACGACAATTTTGTTATTTTAATTTATTGTAATTGAATGACGGGTTGTCCTTTAATAATAATAATAATAATAATGTGTTATGAAAATATACCTTTTGCCTGTAGGCATTGCAAGAATGGTGGGATTGGGACGGATGTGGTCCCTACAAATACCGTCATCATCATTATCCAAACAATATCACCCTTAGGGATGTCCAGCGAAGGAGAATATTCAAGAGATTACATTTTGAGAGAGCTTCAAGGGAAAATATAATGTAAGCATTTCTTAACATATCACGTTTTTTTTCAGAACCTAGGTATCCTTTTTATAAGCTGCCAATAAACAATTCTGTTTTTTGGCAAAACCTGTCAATTATAAAATGCGATATCCAGAGAAAAGAGTATTAGTTTGTAAACTTTTATATTGTTTAATGTAATTTTGCTTTAGACAAATATAAATGATAAATATATTTTGTGTTGAATACTCATAATATAATTCAGTTTGTTTGATCTTGATATCCTCAGTGGGCACTTTTTGAGGGGATCAATTAAGTAACTATACCTTTCCAAATCTTTATTTTATTTACTGCACTGATCATAAATTCTCTTCAGACCCTGACTGGGTACGATTAATATGCGGGATTTCGAATTAAGACTAGATTAATCTGCAGATTAACAAAAAATCGAGATTAAACATTAAACTCAATATCCACAAAATAAGAGTTCCCAACTTCCAAGCTCAGGCCAAAAAGAAATACATAATTTTTAATTTCCATTTTTTTAAATCACAGTTTTTACTTAAAACATAGCAAACGCTTATCTGAGTTTAAAGCTCTTCGCTCATTTAGATGTTAGTTAATAGTTTTGCCAAACGGCTGAACTAAATCAGCGGAATTCTTTTAGGCTAAAAAAATTAAAATTTATTTTCAAAATTCAATAAAATTTTCTTTCTAAATTCTAAATTTTTTCCCCAAAGTGTTCTTATTATTCCAAGGGCAAAGCCGGACACTAGAGCTAGTTAACAAATAATTGTATGAAAATGATTGTTACTAGTGCCCAATGTTTTAATATTTCAGTGACAACGATATTCTTCCCGCCGAGATACAAGATATTGCTGGACAGGAGATCCAAGATCTGCCATATGACTCCGCTACTTGGAGGTCAATCTTTTTAACATATTTTTAAAAAAATTTAAATTGTAAATTCTATAAGTAATTAGGTGATAGCAGCTGTAAGTACTTTGACATTTCTGTTTTTCTAAATCTCCATTTACTTCTTGATGTTGGTGCATCATCCATCATGTTCGGCAAATTTTGAAAGAATTTTTTTTTTGTGTTTTGTCGATTTGTAGGTCAATCTACTTTCTTAATTTGATTCAGGATTGAAGTCCTAGTATCCTTTTATTTAGATTTTATTTCAAGTGACCCTCCATGTTGTACGTAACTCAACACAACGCATACAAGCGGGTTCGATAAGTTTAAACACATATATCTCCGTACTCCCCAACACACACAAATGATTTAAAGGTATCTTTGTAAATGTTGCCCTCTTTGCATTGAGGGTCACTTGAACGCTGAAGTTACGCTTTTAGTCCCTTCAAAGACACTGCCACAAAATTTTAACTTTTTAAAATCTTTTTTTTAGCTTTTATTTGTAGATAAGTTAGGATCTTTTTATCTTTCTGTTAAGCTAATAGCTTAGCTGTATACTTATCTGTCTATCTATCAATCTATTTATCTACAGACCGAATATGAGATGCTGTGTGACCGGTAGGGCGCGAGGTCACTATAAGGAGTATAGGGTCAGCAGGTTCATTTTCAGGTAGAGCTTTTAAAACCATAATATCTTTAATCTATATATAAATTTGGCTTGTCTGTCGAAGCGAAGCGCCCTCTAAGGCTAGTTACATAAAATGTGTAAAGTAGAGACTTAACATTGTGTACAATCTTCATGAAAACAGTGAAAATGCGGGAAGCAATTTACATAAATCTTCAAATATCGGTATAAGTTCCTCTCTATTTAATATGTAAAGATGTTCTTCATATGTACACAAATACAAATATGTACAGGGTCACCTACAAAGAATGCGATTTTTAATTTTCTCCCAGTAACTGCACTATACACTTTTTATAAATAACAAAGATGGGTTACTACATCATACTAAGTTTATATTTAAATTAATGTGGGGGATTTGGACGGTATGTGTACACTGTACAGTGTTCACATTTTACTGTTACGCATTAGGACTGATAAAAACTAATTTTATTAAAACAATAATTTTTAATTTGAGGATCTATAAAAAAACTAAAACTTTCCAGTCCGTATCTTCATTTTAGATATTCCTCCCGGGATTAAAGCTCCTTTCCACACTTAGCTGTGTACGATTACCATGCGGGGTATAGAATAAAGATTAAATTAATCTGCAGATTAAAAAAACATTGATCAAAATATCCGCAATGCATGAGTTACCAACTCAGTTTTTTTTTTATTGACGAGTGCGCGCATTTATCTATTAAGGTACTTCTAGATTTTTTGTTCATTTAAATGTTCTGTTGATCAAACAAATTATTATATATAATATATTTTAGGGCTGAAGCGGACCATAATCGTGTAAGCGGTGTACAGCGCGCGTTCTGGTTGTACAATACCAAGATTGAACCCTAGACAAAAGACATGTACATAATTCAAAAATAAAATTATTTGAGTCTGTTGTTCTTGTTTCAGAGATACAATGTCGTTTCAGCTTCCAATATCTAACGGTGTTGCTCATCTACCGAGGGGGACAGGAAGGTAGATATATACAGTTAAACTTTTCTGTACTCGACAAACACACAAATGGTGAAAGGGCAGGGTTTTATATTAGGCATTGCCCTCTTTGCACGGAGGGTCACTTTAAATTACGCTTACAGTCATTTTTAAAAGGTTTTATTTGAAATTCGTGATCGTTAATGTGGGGGGGGGGAAATCTGCATAATGTTGATTTTAGAAATATTTTTAGACACACTGTTGGATGCATAGATGTATTTACTAAAGAGATAGAATCCAAGCTACCCCTGTTGTTTCGTTTGTACTATCCAACATCAGATAAATCAGATCCTTCAAGGGAAACCAACTAAACACAGATCAAACCAATTTAATGAAACAAATGATCTGACGATACTCGCCTTAAATCTCAAATGTTCTAATCAAGTGTTGTAGACCTTTAATATTTTAAATTTTGGTTATTAAACTTAGCTGAATTTATAGTTCGAAATAAAAAAGGTCTACGACATTTGATTGAAAATATATAAGGTTATGATTTTTTTGGGCAAGTTTTTAGTTTCTTTGTAATTGTAATTTTACACATAATTCATAATTCATTTTAATTCAACTTTGCAAAGAAAATTAATTATTTTTGAATAGAATGTACTTTTTTTTCGTTTAATTCGTTTATAATTTCTTTAACACTTTTTTAGATTAACAACATTCGTTTCTGTAAGCAAAAGTTTGTTTTGAAAAATTAAAAAGTGAATGAAAACTTTCGTTTTTACATTGTTTTTTTTTTTGGTAAACGCTGGTAATATATTTTCAAGGGAATTCTTCAGATCAAATTTGATTGATTGAAAATAAGACGAGAAAAAGATCGCAAATAGATGGATGGATATCTAAAAGAGTAATTTGTGTTTTTAAAGAAATAAGGGAGAACTTAATTAGTCCTTCTATATTTCTATAAATACTCTAAAAAGGTCCACAATTAGCACAAATATAAAGAAATTTTATTTTATTAGAAACTTGGTCGCGTATTTTATCTGCAGACTTCAACCCTTCCCCGAGTGAGTAAAGGGGGCCGGGGTTGCTTAATACTTTAGCGATCTAATTTTTCTCAGAAGATTGCAGTCCACTCAAAATAAAATATAGGTTTCAAAAAAGATTGAAGTTTTTAAAAGTCCAGTTTTTGTCTGATCTTTATCAGTTGGGTTTACTCTAGATGGCCGCTATGGTTGCCTCACCCTAAGTAAGTTGTTCAATATTCATATCTTTTATTTTCAAATAACAAGAAATATACCTAAAATTAATTTTAAAAGATGCAATTTTAAAACATGATTAAAATCTCAGATTCTTGTGGAGCCTCTTAAAAGATAGAAATCTTGAATGTTTAAAGACGACCAAAAACGATGTCAAATTTTTTTTTTCCATGGACCTAATTTATTTAATTGAAGAGGTCGCTGACCTATCTACTACTGGTTCAAATCCTGAATCACCGATCTTTAAGTTAAGAATTGAATTTGTGGTATTTAGTTAAGTGACCTCTTCAATTATTTAAATTAGGTCCTTGGAAATGGACAGTAAACATCGTTTTTGTTCGTCTTTAAACAGTTGTATTTGATTTAACAATGTTTTTAGATATGCAGAAAGCTATATTGGAGCTAAATATGAACAGTCTCCGTTCTTCAAATATATTCTGGTAAATTCTAGTTTTTATTTACCATTAACTAGCTGTACTATTCTTCAAATCTATTCTGGTAAATTCTAGTTTTTTTATTTATTATTAACTAGCTGTACTATTCTTCCAATCTATTCTGGTAAATTCTAGTTTTTATTTATCATTAGCTAGCTGTACTATTCTTCAAATCTATTCTGGTAAATTCTAGTTTTTATTTATCATTAGCTAGCTTTAATCCTGTAATCCGCCAGGCTATAATTCTCTAATCTGCTAGGGCTTTAATCCTCGAATCCGATAATTCTTTAATACTCTAATCCGCTAGGGCTTTAATTCTCTAATCCGCTATTTCTTTGATCCTCTAATTCGCTAGGCCTTTAATCCTCTAATCCGCTTGTTCTTTAATCCTTTAGTCTGCTAGGGCTTTAATCCTCTAATCCTAGGGTAAAATGTTTTCTTGGTTGTCGTGTAATCCTGTAGTTCCCGTGAATGAAGGTGGTAAACCAGAGACTGAAAGGTAATTTAATTTATATGGATTAATCCGTTCCAAGGCTTCTGGATGAGAGTTTTTTGGCACCTAAAGTAGACCCCCCCCTTCCTGCCCCTGAGCATTAGAATAAAAGTTAATAATTAAAAAAAGGTAATATGAAGACTCTCAATTATTATTTTCAGTTTATCATTTATTTCACCAGAAGTCTTCTTCGATATCCCATTGTGTTCACACTCTGCAGTCTGCAGTGATAACTTCGATATTCCTTGGTGTTGACACTCTGTAGTCTGCAGTCTGCAGGGATAACTTCGATATTTCTTGGTGTTGACACTCTGCAGTCAGCAGGGATATCCCATTGTATTCCCACTCTGCAGTCTGCAGGGATAACTTCGATATCCCATTGTATTCACACTCTGCAGTCTGCAGGGATAACTTCGATATCCCATGGTATTCGCACTCTGCAGGGATAAATTCGATATTTCTTGGTGTTGACACTCTGTAGTCTGCAGGGATATCCCATTGTATTCACACTCTGCAGTCTGCAGGGATAACTTCGATATTCCTTGGTGTTGACACTCTGCAGTCTGCAGGGATAACTTCTGTATTCCTTGGTGTTAACACAGGGATAACTTTCAGTGATCAAAGCATTTATCTTCATATTCAGAAGTGCCCACATTGGGTAAAGAGATCCGACCTCAGAATAAATTAGATTTGTAAAAACTATTCCTATGAAGTTTCCCATTTTGTAGGCATTAATCGTTTAAGCAAATAACAGCTCCCCCCCCCTTTTTTAATTGAAGTGTGTGGTGTTGCCCGTTGAATTCCTCCAATAAAATATTTTATTTTCATAATTATTAGGTTTCCCGTTGTAGTTTTCTCTCATGGACTGTCTGCATGTAGGACTACATACTCATTCCTCTGTACAGATATTGCTTCCCAGGTTTAAACTTTTTTATAAAAAAAATCTTCTCAGAGTTTAGTCAATATAACACAATATTGATCCAATATAACACAATATTGAGCCAATATAACACAATATTGAGCCAATATAACACAATATTGAGCCAATATAACAATATTTTTTTAATTAAAAGTTTAGGCATAAAAGACTACGATATTTATCATAGAATATTTTTACGATGTCAGATGAAAAAAAAATCCTAAGAATGAGGAAAGAATTCGTTAAAAAAAAGATTGCTTTCAAATGTTTTAGAAAATATAGAAAATGAAAATCTGATTTTACTTTTACTTATTGCTTAATTAATTCTCAATAAACAATGTATTTAAATAGAGTACAGCATTCTTTTACAGAATGGAATGACCGATTCATAACGGTTTTCTTTAAAACTTTAAAACTGACGTATTTTATTCCTTATTTTACTTTCCGAAAATCAATTATTTTTAATTGTGGTGTTTTTTGTTAAAGTGACTTGCAAATATTTGCAGCAGAGAAGCAGTGAAGTGAAGGTTTCTGTCAAAATTAATCAGTTTTTAGGAAAGAAAAACGACGATATCTTCCCTGGTTGTTAAAGGGTACCATTGTGAATCAGACAAAAGACACAAGTTCTAAGTAACACTTTGCTATTTTTTAAGGGATATTATGTAGCAGCATTGGAACATGGTGATAACAGCGCTAATATTAGGAATATTTACATTTCAGGAAAATACAAATTTTTCAATTTTTTAACAAAAAAAATAATAAATGTTTTCTATGAATTTTTTTAAAATGAAAATATAAAAAGAATGATGTTGACTTCCCCGGAAGCTGAGGTATCTTGGAGATCGATGGAAACACTGCCTAAAGGAAAACATGTCAACATTTAATTCATGATAGTAAATCTATTTCTGGAAATTCTTGTTTTCCCTGATTTTATTATTATTTCTTTTATTTAATCAATGCATTTCTTGGACTCCTTCATATTACAGGGGAAATTAGTTCCAAAACTGATACTTTGCCCATTTCTAACACTAACGGATTATTTTTAAAAACGGGAAAATGAGTTTTGTCTCGAAAACGCGACAATGATTTAAGTTCAGGAATCAGGATAAGTTCGAAAATGGAAAACCTGACATTGTCGAGAAAACGGTCATAGGTTTTAATATAAAAGAACTCCTTTTATAAGTTTGGTCACAGAAAATATTATTTAAATTGGGAATTATTGTCCTCGTCAATGGTCAGGCTGAATAAAATGTTAGTTATAGTTTTTATTATCGACTTTATCTCTCGATCGGGATCCTAAAACCCCAGTCTTTCATTTTGTGCCCATTTCTAACACTCAGTGCTAGAAATGGGCCAAGTGTTAGTTTTGGAACCAATGTCCCCCTGGATTACTCCTGAGAATAAAAATTTGGATTATAAAGAGTTTTTGGAAATCCACCAATTTGTAAAAAAACAGGAAAATCTGCAAAATTTGATATGTTATTATTTTAAAAAGTAGAAAAAACAAGTATTTGCATATATTGGACCAGCAAGAAAAAGCCAAGTTTAATTAGCTAAAATAAGAGGTCGTTTATGAAACGCACTGTAAGCCTAGTGAGTTAAAGTAACAATTTCTATCATATTTTTATTTAAATCTTGACTTGTTGATAAAGGAGCACCGGAAACAGAACTAAGAGAGAGACAACTAAAATACAGAACTAGGAAAGAATATTTTTTCGTTAACAAAATTTTTACTGACATGCTCTCAGGGTTTTTTGTCGAATGACTTAACTCCAATATTTCCTTTATGAAGTTTTAATTAGATGATATGCATACAATTCACGTAGATTCAGCCTGCTTATAAAAGTCTCATTAATTTTTAAGACTGGGTTGACTCTGGCTTTGTTTTTACCGCTATAACTCACTTATGCTTTTCTGTAGCTCTTTACATGTACATTTTAGCACTGTAAAGCACTTGCTTGTTAGCTTTGGTTTTTAAAAAGTAATTGGCAAAATTCTCATTGAACTTTGCTTGAAAGCTAAGTGTTTACTGTATAGGGAAGCCAGCTTTGCCAAAAATTTAAACTTTTTCCGAAAAATGTCGACCAACCTCATCTTGAACATTTAATCCAAGCTAAGAAGATTTACGTGGTTCTACCGAGTTCATTAATCAAAAAGTGAGCCAAGGGGTTTATGAGCTATGATCGGGCATACAAACAAACTGTACATATATATAATAGATGTTTTAGTCATATTTCTTACATGCATAATAAGACATAAGACATAAGATACAATTAGGGTGACTCGCAAAAATTCTCCCAAATAAAGATTTAATTTATTCGAAAAAATAATGGCTTGTTCAACGAACTACTCAGGAAGTTTGATGTGAGTGGGTACACAATGTTAGATTAGCTGAAGAATAAGGAAAACCAAGTGCAACTCTGAAATTTACTTCTTAAAAGTTTTCTTTTTTTTAAAGTGAAGTTAGACAGTGCCTGGATTCTTTGAAAAGCCTAGATAACGGTTTAATTGAGGTAATACATATTTGTTTTGGGGGCCTGCTTAATTCATAGGGGAACCCTTTAATTTTTTTGTCTGATGACAGAGTTTTCCGTGTGTTTCTCTGAAATAATCGTTTTTGTAGATTGATCAGGAAAAGTTTCTCAGCTTGGACCAGTCAAAGTTTTAAATTTGTTGTGAATCGGACATGCCAATTTACAAATGGAAGATTTCTCGAAAAGATGTTAAAATAAATGTCGGGGTTAATTATTGATAACTTAACTAATTCAAAAAAAGTTTTATCGGACTAAAAAGACCGTTAGAGTAATATTTAATCATGACACTCTCGACAATTCTAATGTTTAGGACTTTTTCATCAAATACTCAGAGACTCTAAACGACACCCACGAAAGGATTGGGTTGGAATCTTTTAAAGGAAAACTCAGCACAGAAAAATGCATTAAAATTTTATTTTATTTATATTCTTGATTGAACACGTCAAACTAAGTAAATTTCACGTAGGATTGAAATCTTGCATGTTTTTAATCATTGAAAAGTCCCTTATTTAAGAACTGTCAAGATAAGAACAAAAATATTTGAATTTCTAATGTGGAACTGGATAAATTTGCTTCTTATTTATGCGTTAAATTAAACTAGAGGTGCTACGAGGTCACAATGTTTCCCCTGTAACGTCGCATAAATTTGACCTTCTCCGCCTGTTAAGTTTGTATATATCTAAATGAAGGATGGGTAATTAATTCATTATGCGATTTGATTTCTTAATTTTAATTGATGCGTTTATTGGTAGGTTTTCTTCTTTATTGGCGATAAAAGCGTAATGAAAGTCGTCTTTATTAAACCTTTGAAGTTCAAACGTCGATTAGGATTCTTAACTTTGAAAACACACCCGGAATCCCTGTACGTTGTTCGAGATTTATGTTATCAGACATCTAAAAGACAGACAAACGGATATTACTACTTTATAAATATAGATATATATTAAGATTCTTAAATTGTTAAATGTTATTTCACTTAATGAATTTGTGTTAAAGTCGTGAAGTCTTTTATTTTATTTATTTTGAATTGTTAATGAAGTTTTCAAAATTGATAAATTTATTGATAAATAAAAATTGTTTCAAAGGGAGTGTTCGCGAAAAATGAAAGGGCGTATAGGCTTAATGCGATAAAAAAGCGCTTTTGATCGCTACTAATCTTACTTCTAAGTGGCGATTCAAAGCGCTTTTTTATCGCATTAAGCCTATACCCCTTTCATTTTTCGCGAACACTCCCTTTAATCACGAGAAAGGTATAAACCACTTTATGAAAAGCTCGTCAGACGTACAGCCTCATTTTTATAATTTCTTTGCCATGCATTAAATATAAGAAATGAAAGACGTCTAACTAGACGTCTCTCAATTCCCATGCTTACTGGGACACACTGTATGGTGCACAGAAAATTTTCATAGTTTTTATCTCAAATTTCACAATGTTGGATGACACTTAATTTTGATAATTTTGATATTTCTACTCACGTTAACTAATTTTGAATTGTCTGGACAAAATGTTGAAACTGGGGCAAGTTTCTGCAAAATTCAAGGAATCGAAATTTTACTACAAACTGGAACATATTATTGATTTATTTGTTAATTGTTTCATGTATGTCTGTTTATCGACATATGCGAAAGAACAACAACTGTTTCGGACCCTATATACTATATAGTATATACACTATACATAATGATAACAATTTTTCAAGTCAAGATTATCCATTTTGGATCCGGGTTCAGACAGAACCATAGACTAAATAATAAAGTCTGCTAATCAAATCTAATACGCCTAGTATCTAGATAGGCTTAACTTGTACCGACAAGGAATGTATCTATAGCAAGTTTTGTGACTGCCTTTTGACGCATATGATTGTAATTCTATTAACACCTAATTAACAGGGAAGTTAAGTGAAATTTACTTTACCAAGGGCAAAATTGGTCAGGGGAACTCGTGGTCAAGTAAAATTTTATTTTCCCGAAAAAGTAGTTGTACTCAATTTCATCGTTTTTTTTGAGAGGCAAATGCGCGAATTTTTCACTATAAAGCAGGTTGTTATTTTACTTAATTGTCCCAAGGGACGTTAAATAACTCTGTTGAGAAAGTCATAGGTCGGTAATATATCCAATATTACCGACCTATGATTCCCCCAACAGATTTAAATACCGACCCTATTTCGGAAAAATTAAAATTTTTACTTAATTACGGGTTCCCTCTACCCGTGGTAAAGTAAAATTTCCAGAACTTTTCTGTAAAGTTGTTGTAACAAATTATTGCAAGTTTTAAAGTAAGGCTCTAAATTTCAACACTTTGTAATTTTCATATTTACTTTCAGCGTGTGTCAATTTTAAACATGAAATTTTATTTAATTATTTTTCTATTTGTGTAAGTTTTGTATATCGAATCTTTAGGAGCCTTAATTAACCTTACATATAGATGTCTGCTTATTGGTTATGCAAAGAAGAACACTTATCTTTGTTTTTGGCGAACATTTAGTTTTTTTTCAAATATATCTTTGTTAATATTTTATTAAGATCCAGCAGACCTTTTGCACTCATACATGGGACACGGGGCCCTATTGGGGGCTCAGCTCCCCCCCCCCCTAGCTCGTTGAAAGAAAAAAAAGAAACAACTGTTAAGCCCCACCTCCCATCTGGACAAATTGTTGTCTACGCCCCTGTTAGCACTTTGTATTTCTTATCAGGACACTCTATGGGCGGAGCTACAACAATACGAACCCTGTCTCAGGATAAACGATTTAAAGGAGGTGTGGCCTTAGACTCATGGATGTTTCCTGTTAGGTAATTTTATTTTATGGGTCTGTTGGGCAGAATTTTATTTAATGGGTCTATTGGGCAGAACCTCTTAATATTACTCCCGCCCCCACCACCCCCTTCGTCTAAACTTTACTGTTTTTTTATCCGATTTTGTGAACAATAATAGTTAATCCCAGTTTTAGACTTTAATGTCATTTTTGTTAATTTATTTGCATTAATGATATTGAACTATTTACAAGCCTATTTTTCGTACATTTTAAAATGATATCATTAACAACTTGGCCGACTTCCCTGTTTGGACTTATTCAAGTTTGTAAAACAAAGTTGAGAAACATTTTTGAGCTCTGATCGACCATAAAATATAAAATTTCCTTAGTCATTTGAGGTTCCATAAAATGATTTTTTTATAACATCAAACCAAAGGATATTATTTGTCTTTGTGTTTGTAGACAGGATACAATAGACTTTGAGAGGAAGAATTTACTCTTCGTGAATATGGAAAAGTTCCAGGGAGAGAAGAACCTGGAAACCATGAAAAGGAAATTAATTTAAAATGGAAATTCTCTCTTGAAATTATTCTTAATGCTTAACAAAACTGTTTCCTCCAATTTTTCATGTAATGATTTCCTCCAACCTTTCAACTTAAAGATAATGTCCTCCAATCTTTCAACTTAAAGCTAATGTCCTATAATCTTTAAACTTAAAGATAATGTCCTCCAATCTTTCAAGTTAAAGATAATGTCCTCCAATCTTTCAGCTTAAAGATAATGTCCTTCAATCTCTCAACTTAAAGATAATGTCCTCCAATTTTTAAACTTAAAGATAATGTCAGATAATCTCTCAACTTAAAGATAATGTCCTCCAATCTTTCAACTTAAAGATAATGTCCTCCAATCTTTCAACTTAAAGATAATGTCAGATAATCTCTCAACTTAAAGATAATGTCCTCCAATCTTTCAACTTAAAGATAATGTCCTCCAATCTTTCAACTTAAAGATAATGTCCTCCAATCTTTCAACTTAAAGATAATGTCCTCCAATCTTTCAACTTAAAGATAATGTCCTCCAATCTTTCAACTTAAAAATAATGTCAGATAATCTTTCAACTTTAAAATAATGTCCTCCAATCTTTCAACTTGAAGATAATGTCACCAATCTTTCAACTTAAAATTATTTCCTCTAAGATTTGAGATTTCTCCCGCGGAAGAATTAGAAACGAATGTGATCTCTTTAAAGAATGCAACACATTATGCTCCTTCAGACATACTCATCACTCTTCAGGTTCTATTTTTTATTTTTGAATTAAATCAAGACTCGAGTTTTCTTTTTATATGCTCTAAATACTATTATAGGAAACTACTCAAATTTCATGATTCTGGGAAATGACATGAAATTATGAAAAACTTAGCAAATAAAAAACTAACAACTTTTTTTTTATTTTCAGTCAGTCCTGACTTCTACGGAATGATGGTTAATTGTTTGTTTTGTTTGTTTGTCTTAACCCAACGAAAATCGCTGTAACGTCCAAAATGCGATCTTAATATGAACAAATTCAAATGACTTAAGTGTGACAAAAAATTGACTTCTCTCTTATAATCCACCAAAATAACAAACAAAATTGTGTTTAGAATGGTTACATTGGTGAGCTAGCTTTGGGGAAACCCGATCTGGAATTTTCTTCCTTCCAGAATGTTCTGGCCTCATCTGAACTATTCCACGGCTGGATTAAGAACCGGTTATGTGCAGAAATGGAAACCTTTCTGACTGCGTGCCGGAAGTATGAGGAGCGTCTACTGTATGGAATCAAAATGCCGGAGAAATGAACGCAGCATTTAAAATGTTGTTGCGCAATAGCTTGATTATTTTGTCAAAGTTTGAAAAGTGATACACCGCAAAATTAACAATTTAAATGTAAAAAAAAATTGATTATTCATGGCTAGAGCATTATATGATATGATTATTGGATATGAAACCAGTGACTAGTTAACAAATTATTGTGATAAGCGTAATAATTATTTTATATAGAGTTTATTAACCGTTGTATTATGATATAATTAACAAAATATGAACATATTTTACTAACTGGGTAAAATTATATATATATATATGTTAAAAAAATTAAATATGAAAGTTAATGAAAAAACTAAACTTTCAGCTGAGATGATCTGGCGGATTTGATGAACCAAGGAGTCCAGAATGTTTTTCTCTATTAAAAGGAAAGTCTCCACTGCGATCCAAACAGGTTGCAATTATTAATTTATTGTCTACAGTGATACCTATAAAACTATAGAATTAGAAGACGACATTTAAGCACTCTAATATTTCGATTCTATTAAAAAGCAAATTGTTACACCAGTAGGTTGAAAATCAACTTATTTAGTTAAATGGATTTATGTACAGTATACACCTGAGCCCGAAATTTTAAAGAATATCGTTGAATTAAACTCCCGAGTTTCTTTTTTGGGGTCTTAACATTTGTGTAGATTTTGATTTAAGAGATTTGAAACAAATGGAGAATATGAAGAAACTGAATAAAAAAAATATTTCATAACAAAAATACTGATATCCACATAACTGCCTAACCCCATTCGTGATTCCCGAATTCCAAAACTGGTTTTCATAACGGTACACTGTCTTAAATTTTGGGCTCAGAGGTATCTGAGGGTGTACAGAAGGATCGATGGCGGACCGTCATAGGCTTGTTTCCCACCCCTGAATTTACACTATGCACTTAACTGGGTGATTCATTGGAACTTAAACGGAAGGGAGCTTAAGCCTACAATCATAGATTGAAGGATTGAATGACCCTATATCAAGAGCATCAGAAAGTTAACAGGTCAGTTATACGCTTAGACCTAGAGAATTTAAATATCGCAAACTTTTGCTATTTCCACGAAAAACATCTTTAAACTTTAAAGCCTCGGTGCGTAAATAAAACTTTCAATATTATGCTTAATATACATTGTTATAAATGCTGCTCTTCAAACCGAAAGTTTTTCTTCGTAATTGTCAAATTCTATTTATCGTGGATTTTCTGTTATCATTGGTGTGTATTTTTGAAAAAATATGTCAACTTTTCAGTTTTTTTGTCAACATTTTTCGGTTCTGAACTTCCCCGGGGTCATTTAGTTGGCACACACAAAAATCGATATATTTTCCTAAAAATCCCAACCTCAACCATTTTCTCAAACATTGAGAAGATGGAAGTAATCAATTTGAGCTTGAACAACAAAAGAATATTCATGGTCCATGGGTTTCATTTGAAAATAATTTTCTTTAAAAACTCTAACCGTTTATAAGAAAAAATGAATATATATTTGACACTCTGTATATTTTCGAATTTCAAAAACTTTATTGTTTTATCAAAGGTTGCGGTTTTTGTATCGAGACTAGGAGTCAAATGCGTATTCAGGGGGGCTATGGGGGCTCAGCCCCCTTTGGATCAGTGAGATTTATGATTTCCAGGGTTTTCAGGCCCTAATGGGTTCTGATTCCCCCTGGACAGAAAATAAATTCAACCCCCCCCCCGGACAAATTTCTAAAAACGCTTTTCTAGTAGTTCAATTTTTACCTTTTTTACCAATAGTTAAACCTGCTGAAACTACTAAAACGTCTCAACCTAAAATTTTTAAATCTTTATATCTTGTTTACCTAATTTTGTTTAGCTTATTTGTTACTATGATATTTTATCTATCAGAATTCATAGTTTGAGGTGTACGACATCATGTTGCAAAGATATAAGGATTAGATTGAAAGAAGGTATTCAAAGGTCTAAACTTTTTTCTAGGTTAAATGGATATCTGTCTGATATAGAATCAATTCTTGATCAAACCAATACACACCAGGAACACTGTCAAATAATCTGAATAAATGAGATATAATACTTATTTATTCATCGTTTTCTGCTTCTAGTTGGATTAGGGCTAAATTTTGTTTATGTTTTTCAACAGACGTAATTTTTGGTGACTCTCCATTTATAGATTGGCATGTTTGATTTACATTGGCACCCACAAAAGCTTTATCTGAACAATGATGCATGAGATATTTATCATCTTCTCATAAAAATTATTTTTGATTGTGGTTTTTCTATTAAACGACTTGAGCATTTGTGCTTCAGAAACAATGGAGGAAATTGTAAGAATTAAACAATTTAGAATAACGTCGATATCTCTGACACTAGTGATCAGAAAAAGGTTCTAAAGGGTATCATTGTGAATTGGGCATGCCCCTCTTTTTAAATGTTAGGTCACTTGATATTACGACGACAGTCCCTTCAATAAACAAAATTCTGATATTTAAAAGTTTGCAAATAAAAAAAAGATGAAATGTTTATATAGACTTGAAAAGAATTCAGTATTAAAAAGCCAAGATTGAGTGGAATAATAAAGCATGATTTCACACAAACTATATTTTACATTATAACGATACAAACGCTTTGTGTTTGACCAACTAAGGTTGATCTGAATAAACATGACATTCGCCTATGGCGAATACATTTCCTTTCGACTTAGTGCTAACTGGGGAGTCCTGGGGATAAAATGGTAGATGATCTGCTGTCTTTGCCTGTAAGATAATTGCCGTTTCACTCCTGTATCCAGCATCGATCTTACCCCAGCTGTCCTTTATACAGCTCTTTAAACTGCACCCCGCGGCCGGCAGGTGGTATCTCTAGATGAGAAAAGGGGGGTTCAATACCCTTGTCTGCCTATATATATATATATATGAACCATTTAGGACTTTTTAAATATTTTTAACAGGAAAAAATTTATATTTTTGACAAAACCGTGATGAATAGAAAAAAGCTGAAGAGCTTGCTCTGGAGTTCAAAATGGTGAAAGATGTTCTGAAATCAAGTCTTTCTATAAACTTAAGCCATAAGGTAAATAAAAAGTCAAGAGTTGAGGGAGGGGAGGAAAAGGCCAACCACAACAATTTTTCGTCCAAGTCGTATCTTCCTTATTTCTAGTCCGAGCCACCTCGAAATCCTCGTCCATCCATTATTATGATGTTAAAGTGCCGAATCCTTAAAGATCCAACTATTTTAAGAAAATCTGGCCTCGTTGAAGTTTATTTTTTAATTAAAAAAAAATGTCCAAGTAAGAAAATTTGTTAAATTTTTCTATCATTGTTTAAATATTTGTGTTTAGGATGACAAGGGCTAGCAGATATTTGGACCTCTAGATATTTTATTAATTCCAGATTTGAAACAGCTATATCAGAAAATCTTATTATTAAAAACCAGATCAGACAAGGCTATAAGAAAATTAGTCAGAATTATATCTATAAAAATCAGATCATTGTCAAAGCTATATCATATTTTGTCTTCCTGGAACATTGAACAGGGAAAAACTTCGAAATTTTAATCTAATTTGATTTTTTCTACCAAACTCTGAAAAGCGTTTAACTAATAATTTAACCGAATTCGTATCAAATATTTATTTGAATCCAGCTAGAATTTTTTCCCGCTTTTTTAATTTGAAGATATCCTTGTTTTTTTTTTCATCTGAAAATTTACAGTTGTGATTTCCCTATGTAAGCGACTTGCGGGTTTTTGCAACAGAGACAAAAAGTTACTTCACCGAATTCAGCACTTTTTAGGATATGTTTCTAATTGTTACCCATATGAAGGGTACTATTGTGAATTTAACACTTTTTTAACGAAGGGTCACTGGAAATTAAGTTGCCAGTCCCTTTAGTTGATGAATTCCTTCATTAAATTATCTGGTTGCGAGGTATTTTCTGAAAATCTTGCCAATTTATTTAATTAATTTAATTAAAAAAAAAATCACTTTTCAAAAGAATTTTTAAAGATTGGTTGCACATTTTTACTTGATATTTACTTGATATCCTAGAAGAGGAGACCTCTTGGATTCAGGTTTTTACATTCAAATAATTCACTTTTATCAATTTAAAATTGGCTAATTTCGGGGATTTGTATTTGGTCATTTTACATTCGGGCGATTTACGATTGGTCAAATTACATTTGGTCAACTTCATAGTTTTTGGCCAACTGTGTAAAATAATATTTAACGTTTATTTAAAATGTTAGAAATGATAAATCTACATTTTAAGGTCTAAATATCTTGCAATGGGTTGCTTGGAAAACATTCAGGCAGTCATCAATACCTGGCCTGACTCAGAACATCAGGCAGCTATAAAGGCAAGTTATCAAGCATAAGGCCATTTTCTACCTGTTAAATCATGACTTTCTGCGCCACCGTTTAACTAGCTTTAATTTTATTGTTGTTTGTTTTTCATTGTGGGCTCTTTGTGTGTCACTCTAATTCAAGGATGTAATGCAAGGAAAGTTATTTCAGAAGTGTACACATCTTTTGTACTGCAGTGTACTGTCTCTGGGCGGTAATGTAAACACAAGACGGATGTCGAAGTCTTACAAATGATCCATCTTTCACATAAAAAAATCAAAGAAATATTCGAAATGCATCTATTCTTGTTTACAAATCCCGCCCAGAGAGAACTGGTTTCAATATGTAAGCAGAGTATACACGACCGCATATAACTTTCCTTACATTACATCCTTGCTCTAATTTATCAACTAGAGTCCTCAAGTAACTTATGAAGTCAAGTCACTTAATAAGTTGAATGGGGCTGTTTACACTGCACAACTTTTTTGTCTTATGTTCATTGGACTATTTTAAGTTATAACTTGAGTCTAAATTATTTTGCAATTCCCTTCACTGGGGTGTATATTTTTCAGGGGGGGGGGTTATTTTTGTTGAATTGGAGGGGAAAAAAATGAAAAATGAGACATCTAAAGGCAAATTTTTTCATTCTTTGTTATACTATTTACCCAAAAAATCATTGATTTTCCCGAAAAAATCATTTATTCTCCTCAATTTAGCGGAAAACCCCTACAAAAAATATAGAAAATCATATATAACTTCTGAAGGAAATAAATGATTTTCTAAAAGGGGGGTGGGAGAAATGATTTTTAAGGAAAATATACACCCCTGTCCATTTATGATGTTCACATTTTCAAAGATGCTAATGCAGGCTGGGGTACTTGCAGCTTATGGAGTGCTCAAAGCAGAAACTGAGGAGCTAACTCTCGGAGAGAAGTTTTTAACCAAGTATGTCGTCGTTTCTTTGAATCTAAGCTAATGAGAAATTAGAATTAATGTTGCAGTAATAATACAATAATATTATATACTAACTTGAGAACCCAGCGTTTCTCAGGTTTACCCGTGCTTGGTCGTAAAATACAATTTTAGCGATTTTATCTTAAAAAGTGAACCCATTCAACTTAGAATCTCAAAACCAAGCTAAGAACATTCCAGAGTTGGCCCAATTAAAATTTGAAGCAAATCGGTCTAGGGGTTCATAAGTTATGATCAGACATACAAACAGACCAAGAGATAGTACAACTTTATATATATATGAACTGGGAAATAATATTATGATTTTATTTTTATGCTCAAATCCATTTTTTATAAGATGTTTGGAGCTTTGTGATGTTGTGAAGGAGGACCGATACATAATCTTGCAGAGAATTCAAGCATTAATTTATCTAGGTAGATCAAAGTCACGACAAACTTTAGCAAATTGCACTTCAGATTGAAATCTTATTCGTTTTTAATCATAACTCCTTTTAGCCATGAAGAACAAACATATTTTTAATTTGTATTATGTAACAATTAAAATTTGCTTTTCTCATATTTGTAAAATCGGATCGATGCCCAGCCATATTATGGCTGAGAATATTTTTTTGTCGGTATTAAAGGGACTGCATGCGTTATTTCAAGTGACCCTCCATGCAAAGATACAATGCCAGATGCGCATTTCTTGCTTATAAGAGCAATGGAAAAACTCACAGAAATAAACACTTTCGAGTCAGAAAAACGTCGACGGTATTTTCCACATTTTTGATCAGATTAAGGTTACAAGGGTACCGTTGTGAATCGGGTATTGCCATCTTTGCATAGGGGTCACTTAAAATTACGCTTACAGTCCCTTTGAAAAATAATTAAATAGGTGTGATCTGGTGTGGAAGAGAAAACTTTCCTCTTGCAAGGGTAATTTTTATACTTTTATAATCTTATTCTTTTTTATCAAAGAAATCTTGGAACAATTTTAAAGTTATTTTTCTAAATATTAATGACTTTCACATTTTAAGGCTGACAATGAAAAACGAAAGACACTTTTACCTAAACTTTGATTGTTGTCTTTTCAACAAATGGGCAGGGGGGCGATAATTGAAAAAAGATACCCTCTGACAGATTTAATTGACAGGAATATCTGGAGAAATCCTTGAAGGTGTTTTCTCAGTTTCAAGAAGAGAACAGTCAAGACATATTCAGACTCAGGGAAACCTCATCAAAAATCTACCTTTAAAACAGTCAATCTATGAACATTAAACATTGCATGGAGCTTTATCCCTAAACTTGATCTCCTTCAAAAGTTATCATCACAGATTTAGTAATTGTAATAATGTCTTGAAGTTTAGAATTTTTGTTTTGCAACATTTTTATTTTTATTTCAGGACTTTCTATTATATCTTTATTTTTATGTACAGAGAGTCCCATATAATATTAGATTATCAACAATATTTAACGCCAAAATACCATAATACGCGAAAAATCTAGCATTTTCTGCCAACAACATTTTCTATTAGCCTTATTAAATTTTTTAAAATGATTCATTCTTCTTAAATTTTCTGATTTGTCCCCCAAATCGTATTAGACCCATTGACGTGGTCTAATTTGATGTGGGACACCCTGTACAAACTGGGTCTTCTAGTACCTGAGCCCAACAAGCACGCATATTTTAAGAAAATATGTATTTGTATTATTATTATTTTTTATTATTTTTTATTACTTTTTATTATTATTCCCATTATTAGTTTACTACATGTGGCTGGTATATCAGTGATCTGTTGAATTATTCTGAATATAAGCCTGATAATCAAGGAAAATCTCTAGACTCACTTATCACCCATGCTTACTATTACTTAGCCCAGGTAATCTTTAAATGTACAGGAACTAAATGAGAGTAAAACTATAGAGGGAGAGGTAGATTGGGTTTGTTATCAATTAACTGTGAAATGATAATTTTGTTTATTAGAAAGTAGTGCCTAATTGGTACGGGCATTCTGTTCTATAGCTAAATTTATTACTAGTTCTTCTCATTTGTTTCTTCTTGTAGGATAAGGACACCCCCCCCCCCACACACACACTAATTGCAAGCTTGATAACTATGGAAGAGCAGTAGCTGCAAAATCTTTTTTCTAAAAATAATAAAAAATGATATTTTCCAATTGCATTGTTCTTGTTATGATGATCTATTATTATTTTTAAATTGTTTGTATAAAGTTAAAGGAACAGTTAACATATGTTTAAGTTATTTTAGAATATACTTAGCATTCATTCATGTACACTGTACAGACAATTTGATAAAAACATGGTCTATTTTTGAAGCATTCACGAACAATGAAATGATAGAATAAATGACAAAAAATATTACATCTCTTCTAAGGCTTAAGTGTAAATTACATTATTATTCATTGGATAGACATTGGACATGTCTTTAATTCTAGTGATAGAAATTAATAAAATATAATAATGATGTTGAACATCTAAGAAATTTCATTTTTTTTATTTCTATTTCAAAATTATTATATGCATATTTACAATACATAAGTCAGGACCTGTCTAGCCGGTAAGGGCTGCTTTAAAAAATATGAACAAAACAAAAAATTACAAAAAAGTTTAAGCAAAGTTAGGATATGAAGGATGGTAATTTGCTAGAAGGAAATGGTTTAAGTGGAGTGATATTTGCATATCATTGAAAAAGGGAGAAGATTGTTTATAGCATTTACCAACAGTGCTCTGAAAAAATTATGAATAAAACCAAAATATATATTTTCAATTCACACAGGAAGAGCAGAGAAAATATATTAACAAGATCTATTTACAGGAAAGACAGTTTAATTTGAAGCAAGAAAATTGTTTATATTCTTTAAAAAATTTCTAATTATTTTTTTTTCTTTGGTGTTACTGCCATATTTCCAGGTTGAAGGAAAAGCCGGGAACAGCATAAGATCAGCCGAGCTGTGTCACACTACCCTTAGTCGTCAACTTGACCGGCCTTCCTTTGACTGGATGGACTGGACAAGAAACTGCGCAACTCTTTCCCAGTTTTACTTAAACCAGGTGAAAAATGAGTGATATTTACGCTCCGGTTACAAATCACGATAGGGACACATTTTTGTTTTGTTTTTCAGACAGACATGTTTACCTATCTGCAGGGATATATATTTTCTTGAATTTTAGAAAATAAATGAATTTTAGGATAAATAAGGTAAAAAGTATGAAATAGATAAAAAACGTATCTTGCAATCCCCCCCCCAGGTCTTCAAAACTATTTCATTCTTGAAATCAAACACCCCTGCCCCTGTTTTTGTTACTATTTTCCCAGATAATAAAATATCGTTTTGTAAAAGGTGGTAGCCTAGGATTTTAAACAGATAACAATTTGATCGGGAACCGTACTCTTCAGTTTTAAACCTAAGAGAGTTTTAACAATTTCACTCATGTTATATTAGCAAGGTTATAGTTAAAACTGCTACCCTTACACAAAATGATTTTTGAGGATTTTGAATATTTTTCTGGATGTTATATCAAGGGGACTAATAATCGCCTGAACTTACTAAAAGTCGGTTTGTGAACAGCAAGCTTAGTTCATTCGGCTATTAGTCCAATTGATAAATCATCAATATTAACACGCGTTTCAGGAGAATTTTACTGCTGCGCGCTATCATCTTGCCGCGTCGCTTGTTATGATGGACAGATACAAGGAAGACGATCTCGTGGTTCAAGATCTGGAGGAGGAGAAGGGATCTAAGACTGAGATGGAGAAGGAGGTGAAGGAGAAGGATGAAGAGGATAAAAACCTGGAAGAAGAGAATGAAAATAAAGAATCAAGAAGGTATTAAAGGGCTCTAATTCTATCGATATAACCTTAAAGTGACTATTAACATAGTGTCGTGAGTGCCCATTTAAAGAGATCAATGACTGAATTTCAACCATACCCTTTAAACCTTTATCTGAGAAACTATGAGTAACATATCCCTTTCAGACAAATTCCTTAATTAAAAATCGTCAGTTTTCGGATTGAAAAACACTGATATCTTCATCATTTTTGCTAAAACAATGGTTTAAGGGTTCAAATGTTAACCAGGCATGCTCTTTTGTACGTGGAGAGTTTCTTGGAATTACTCCGAACATCTTTTTCTATGGACACATTGTATGTGACTGAGACACATTCTATTACAGTTTGTATTTAGTTTAATGATGTACAGTGTACACTGTACACATTTTATTTTCCATGCATAAAGTTATTTCTGATATTTATAATCTTTTCAATCTTCTTTTGATGATTGTGTTTAGAGCCACGGAGGGGATTGTGAGCAGATTTTGTGCAAAATATGGTTTAACTTTACTGGAATATTCGCACTGTGCAAATCTCTCAGGGGAACCTCTTCAAGGTAGGATTTGCAAAAATAGAATTAAAGAAAGCAAAATTATATTAAGAACCAGAAAATCAGATCTCTTTCCCGCAATAAATAATTTTTTAAGTTACAAGTGAAACTAATTGCTTTGTAACAACATCAGGTACACTTCCAATAAGTATTTCTTTAAAGAGAGAGACCGGCTAGACATGGTAGATGAGCTGAAAGTGCAGAATTGTAAAGACTAATTTTGTATTTCATTCGATACTAATTAGACATTTTTACAGGTGCAATTTATAAATAAAAGCGTTAAGTCGTTTGTAATATTTCACCAGTGGTTTTAGTCAACAGAAGAAACGTTTTTTTTACAATTTTTGAATAACCCTGACAAAACATGTAAAAATTTTATCTTATAGACTAATTTTCTATTTAGTTATTATTTCTTAAAAGAAATTATCGATGAAAGCCATAGTAGAACCGTAGAATCGATCATTTCATTATCACTATTACCTTTGATGATTCAATAATTTAATTCGTAGATTTCTTCAAAATACCGTCTTCACAATAAAAATAAAAAAACCTATAACAGGCAACCCTAGCTGAAAGAATTTGCATAAACCTGCGAGATTTTAAATTTCATTATTATATCTTAATTTCAATGATGTAAGTTCAATATTTTTCTCAACCCGTTTGTATACATGCAACTAGTTTCTAGAATAATATTTGTTACATGTTTTGTCCATGTTATTTAAGAATATTAAAAAAACGTTTCTTCATGACCTCCAGGATCATCTGAGGTCAAAAAGGGGTATAAGAATGGAATCGGAACACCAAAAAACCTATGATTTGATACCTGACATGACTTATTTTCTTTATATTAATATTTGGACCTCCAGAGGTAAGCAAATTTTTTAGGGCACGACCTCCAGGATCATCTGAGGTCTTAATGTGGCATCAGAATGGAATCGGATCACAAAAAATCTATGATTTGATACCTCACATGACTTATTATCATTCACGGAGGTCAAAGTGGAGGTCAATGCCCTCCGATCTCAAATTTTCTTCGTGATCTTTGAAGATGACCACATTTAGAGGCTGTATGCAAAATTTCAGCCTTCATTTTCAATTATTAGGACCAAACCCAGCCTGCACAAAATTTGGTGTCGCAAAGTGTCGAATAGTTTCCCCCCCCCCCCACATTGAACTAGTTATTTTTGTTATTTATTGTTTTTATTACCTTTTTTATTTCATTTTTTCTCGGACTTTTAATTTAAAATGTTAATCAATAATTTGATTAATAAATAATGAAATGAAAATGAAAAAGGTTGACTTGAATTTTATGCAAATAAAAGATGAAAGGCCATTTTTAGTTAATAACCGAGGAAGATATATTTTTGAAGAAAAAAAAACAAAAAATAATGGATATCTTCAAGGACTTAAGGCAAAATCATAATAATACGTTTTAATCCTTTCACATCTCCATTTTTCTTCTTTACATAAATTTTGAATTCTGACAATTCTAAGAATTAAGAACTTTTTTCATCCTTGATCGGACAAAATAAAAAAACTTTGAAAATTATCATTGTGAATAGATCCCATGAAACGAATGTTTTCAGATGAAGTTGGATCAAGAGATAAGTGCCCTGTGTTTTCTAATCTAGATGTATCATCAAGACTGGCCGAGGTTACTGATAAAAGGTCAGAAAAAATAAAAACTTCGTTGTCACGTTCCTGTTTCACAACATTATCCTTAACTTCTTAATTAAGTAACAATTAGTAGTGTATAGTTGTTTTTGAAAATATTTTTAAATTGTATTACTAAGGTGAAATGTTGGATGTGCATTAGCCTTGCCACTGCAGGCTGCTATGCAGTATTCATGAATTATTTTTATTGAAAAGTTTTTTTATTTTATTTTATTTTCAAAGCTAAATATGTTTGTAAATTAACACGTTTTACTTTTATTCTATCCCATTATAAAGCTTGGTAACTAACCACCACTACCCTGGATGATAATTTTAGGTATTTTATAAGATAGTTCAAAGAAGGTTTTTTGGGGAGGATTTTTCTTGTCTGGTTCATTGGATCCATAATTTACCAGATTCTTTATTCAAAATAGAACTGGGATGTATTGTATATGTATAGCAGTAACCCGTCCATAGGCTGATGAAGGATTCTTCTAAGGCCTTCTACGAAAGCAGAACCTAACCATTTCAATCTTAATATACATGTATATTGTATACAGTAAACTTTGCTCCCATTTTCTTTTGTCACTTGAAAAGAGAATCCTTAATAGAAAATTATTAATTTTTCGATAGAAAAACACGGAGACCTTTATCTGTTTTAAGTGGTGCTTCTGTGCTCGAAAAATGTCGGCAGTCCCTTTAATAATGTACGAAAATTTAGAATTGATGACTACGAGACTGGACGAATTATATTCCTGTGGGGACAGCATCATGTGACGAATGCCCAGCTATATTACACTAAAGACGAACGATGTTCAGACTACGTAGAACTAACAAGGTTTCTCTAACCTAACCTAACCAGATATGTATATATTTAAATTTATATATATGAATATATATATAAAAATTTGTATAAATATATATATATATACATTTACATAAAAATATACATATACACTATACAGTAATTTTTGTTTGTTTGTTTGTCCGATCATAAATCATGAACCCTGGCTCTTGACCCTTGCATCTATAGCCTTCTTCCCCTACATGTTCCTATGAAGTTTCCGTGTACAGGATTGCCCACAATGTACGGAATTTATACTGTCCGTTTTCATGCATTCCTTATAGGCCAATACTGCCATAATTCTTTGCTTTATCATTTAGTAAACCATGAAAATACTCAGTTGAATGCAGAAACGAAAAATTAAGCTTCAAATCGTCATATTTTATGAGTTTTGGGAAGTCTTTACAGTCTCATCCTTTGTGGGTAACCCTGCATTAGAAAAAATGTATAATATTTTAAAAACTTCAAAGTTATAGTATAATCAAATAAATGAATTCAAACACAAAAACAAAAAACTTCTAATATAAAAAAAAGATTTGAATAATATTATACAAGTTGTTTTCCAATTATGAAATGGAAAAAATATGGTTAAATGAGAATCTGTTCAAAACATTTCTCCAAATTAACTTGATTTATATTTCGTTATCCTGCATTTTACTTGTGAAATTTAAACAATAATCTTACAGGGTGTCCTCATAAATAATAAACAAGGGAGTTAAGTGACGACTTCTATATTGCCATTTTTCACGAGGCATTATTTCGTTAACTCAATTTTAGTATTCATCAAATACCCCTAGTCCTGGTGTGCCATTTAACTGCTATCAAAATTATCAGAGATAAAATGTACAAATCATTTGCTAAACCCAACTCCAATGGATACACCCAACTTTTCGTGTCCAGCTCTGTTTTAATTCGCAATTTGTCATGCAATATAATATATATAAAATTAGAAATGATCTATGATTTGTCTTTAAATTGTATTTTTTTGAGACACCTTGTAAGTTTTATTTGATATTAAAAAGTAAAGATAAGTTTTTAGTAATTAAAGTGAGTTTTCCCACACCTGAGAATTATGAATAATTAAGGGACCTAAGTCAGATGTACAAACACCTGATCTACTTTGAATCCGACATAGACCGTAAATGCAAGATGCACAGGTATTTGGTATTTTCCGTGAATATAATGCAAATATAAAAAAATAAAGTATCAAACTGTTAAATAATGCATCAGTCTTTAAATCCGACCAAAAACGTTCTTGTCCTAGAATTCGTATTTCAAATCTTATGTTCATTTCCTACTGTATTTGATAATTTTTCACAATTGCTTTTTGGGGTTTTTTATTTATTATTTATTGTTTTTTTAAATATGAAGAAAAATTGTTCAATTAAAAAAGATTTTTGCAAGAAGTGTCCTGGTTTAGTAATTAAAATAAATTTAATTAAAGAAACTGACAGCCGTAAATCACATAGGTACACTTTGTGTCATCAAGAAGAGATATCCATGTTTTTAAATTGAGGTTGACCTGATTTGCGGATTATTTATACAGAAACAATGGAGAATCTGGCCACAGCGACCATATTCTTAATGTTGTTGAGATAAAGGTTTTGAGTACCTGTAGTCAATCGGACAGTTCCTGACACAATATTAATTTTGCAGAAGAAGAGCAGATCTGTTAGAGCCCTTGAACAGGGAGCTGTCCCCTGTACATTATCTTCTTACAATCCGGCAGATACTTTTCGAGGTTCGTAGACTTTATCAATTTTTATAATATATTGAACATTGTCTGGTAGGTTGAGCTGGGAACTCTTGTATTGTGGATATCGAAATCTATTCTTTATCATGATCTTTTGTTAATCTGCTGATTCATTTAGTGTTTATTCGATATCCCGCATTGTTATTGTACTATGGAGGAGTAACTAAAATAAAAAAATAGAAATGGAGATCGAGCTCGAGCTATTTAGATTTTGAGTATTCAACACAAAAGTTCCCAGCTCCTCTTGTTCGTTTTTATGGAGTCAGTTACCAAGACGTTAAAAGAAACGTTGCACATTGCACATTTGTTAGTTGCTTAGTTATTTATTAGTTTGTTAGGTTACAAGATGGTAGTTTGGCAATTGGGTGATTTTTGGATCGGTTGATATATTTTTGGGAGTTGATATGTTTGGTGGGTTGATGTATTGGTGGGTTGATGTGTTTGATGGGTTGATTTGTTTGGTGGGTTGATGTGTTTGGTCGGTTGATATGTTTGGTCGGTTGATATGTTTGGTCGGTCGATATGTTAGGTCGGTCGATATGTTATAGGTCGGTTGATATGTTTGGCCGGTTGATATGTTTGGTCGGTTGATATGTTTGGTCGGTTGATATGTTTGGTCGGTTGATAAGTTTGGTCGGTTGATATGTTTTGTTGGTTGATGTGTTTGGTGGGTTTATGTATTTGGTTGGTTGATATGTTTGGTCGGTTGATAAGTTTGGTCGGTTGATATGTTTTGTTGGTTGATGTGTTTGGTGGGTTTATGTATTTGGTTGGTTGATATGTATGGTCGGTTGATATGTTTGGTTGGTTTTGAAAACCAAGAGTGTTCGTGCTTTCATCCCCCCCCCTCTTATACACCCCTGGATATTTGGTTGGTTAGATGGTTGTTTGGTTATTGTTTTTTTTTCTTCATAATTTATAACTCTGTTTAGTTGGGTGAGATTTTCAGTGACATGGTTGACCTGAAGCGAGATAGATGGGTCAAACAGCCCTCTAATAAACATTTTGCAAGCAAAGTCAATACTCTAGTCAACCAAGCTATTCTTTACTTCCAGGTAGCTTTGTTTTCTTTTTTGAAATAACACCCCTTTAAGCCTCCCTTCCCCAACTGTGCGTCCTCACTGTGTGTCCTCACCCTGCGTCCTTGCTGTGCGTCCTCTTCATTACTCCAATTTTAGTACATTCTTTGTGTAACAACTATAATGATTAATGTTTTGAAGGGAACATTTAGTCCTTAATTTGTACAATTTGATTATTTTTTTACAGGTTTAACAAAGAGTTTCGAGCTTTAAATGTTTATATTCAATGGAAAACTTATTAAGTGGAGTGAAGGATAAGAAAATAAAGATAAAAATCTTGTTTTCATATATTTTCATATAAATGAAAATAATCTAATATAATCACTATATACATCTTTGCAACCTGATGGTAGAGACCTTAGCTCTTTGACTCTCAGATCATGGTTTAAAATATCAATCAACATCAGGTGGAAAATATTCAAGGAAGAGAAACTAATGATGAGTATATCAATACTTTTTGCGACATGCCAGATTTTCCCAGAGAGCTGCTTGCCGTTTACTATTTGTTAACAATCAAAGATTTGAATTATTTTTAGACATTTCTGGACACCATGAAGATCGAAGGTGCTGATCCTGTGAAGTATGTTGATGATAACACTAGACCAGCTCTACTAGCTAACTTCTACTTGGGCAGGTTAGCCAGCAAAGTAAGTTATTTTTTTGTTTCTTTGTTTACTTGATTACTTTTTTGCTTGTTTACTTGTTTATTTGTTTACTTTTTTGCTTGTTTACTTGTTTAATTGATTACTTTTTTGCTTGTTTACTTTTTTGCTTGTTTACTTGTTTACTTGTTTACTTGTTTACTTGTTTACTTGTTTACTTGTTTACTTGTTTACTTGTTTACTTGTTTACTTGTTTACTTGTTTACTTGTTTTCTTGTTTACTTGTTTACTTGTTTACTTGTTTACTTGTTTACTTGTTTACTTGTTTACTTGTTTACTTGTTTACTAGTTTACTTGCTTACTTGCATACTTGATTACTTGATTACTTGCTTACTTGCTTACTTGCTTACTTGATTACTTGCTTACTTGCTTACCTGTTTACCTGTTTACCTGTTTACCTGTTCACCTGTTTACCTGTTTACCTGTTTACCTGTTTACCTGTTTACCTGTTTACCTGTTTACCTGTTTACTTGCTTACCTGTTTACCTGTTTACCTGTTTACCTGTTTACCTGTTTACCTGTTTACCTGTTTACCTGTTTACCTGTTTACCTGTTTACCTGTTTACCTGTTTACCTGTTCAAACGTACCGTATTAGATTGGGAGATAGATAGGGGAGTCACTTAAAAATATAAAATAAAAAACCCTCATATCCTGAATCTTCTAATAAAACATATATTTGTTTATTTGTTCAGTATATAGTAGAAGAGGGTAGTAACAAGCAACTACAGAATATAAACAATACCTACACCAGTTACAAGAAGATAGTTGATTACTGTGTTCAGAATCCTGAAGCTGTGGAAAAGGTAAATACATTTCGTAAGTTGCACTGTATGATGAATATTTTTAAGAATTAAAAAAATCATTTTTTGAAGATTTGAGGGAAAAATTAAAAATTAGCCACCAAAAAGCAATTTTTTTCTACTTTTTTACTTTTTATGCAAAACTTAATTTATTTTCCCTAATTCAGCGAATAAACCCCGAAAAAAAAGTTTTCTCCGCAAACATTCCTAACCACTGGGGAAAAAATTATTTTCAAAGTGGTTGAGATGCAGTGGGAGAAGTAATAATTTTTCAAGTTTCAACTACAGTAATAATCACAAAGTCCTGGAATTAGTTGACAGTTAATCTGGCGACTATTATACAATTATATCTATAGCAATTTCAAATGCTTAAAGAAGGCAGACCACATTTTGGAAATGGCAGGACTAGGGCCATTTTGTGGTTATCCTTGAAATATCAATAAAAGACATAATGCAACTGAAAATGATAAGGATGCTTTCCTTGTGGGTTTATTGGCCATTTACTCAATAAATGAAGTCTAATCTCATTGTATAATTGTTATCTGAAATGGTAAACATCTCTGATATGATTCTCAGATAAAGATTGAACAAAACATGATACACAAATAAAGCCAGCAGGATTACAACTCAACACTGTTCCATAGTCCATAACAAAAAATACTTGACAATGAGCAATCTTAGCTCAACATAGGACTATATATAAAGTTAACGATATACATTTTATTAATTAGCAAAGTCAATTTAAAATTAATTTATATTTATAGTTTGGAGAAGAATTGGAGGCCTGTAAGGAGATGGTGAGACTCCTTCCTGTAAAAATGGAGAAAATACGACGGGGTCTTATTGTTTGAAGATGACCTAAAAACTTTTTTATGTAGAAATTATTTAATTGTCACTTACACAATTTTGTTCACGGTTTCAAGCATTTTTTTAATTAATGCATTTCACAATCACCGGTGTTTTCCCTTGCTTTAAAGGGACTGTACGCGTAATTTCACGACGTGACCGTCCATGTAAAGCGGTATTCTTGACACCTTCATCTGATCAATAATGTAGAAGATATTGTCGTTTTTCTAAAAGTGTTGATTCTGATAATTATTATATGTTTTTCTGTTGCAGAAATGTGCAAGGCATGTTTTTAGAGAAATCCCGATTAAAAATTATGAGATTATTTAATTTTAAACATTGATACATCATTCTTATTAGATCAAACAAACCTTTTAAGAAGCTGGGTACCACTGTGAATTGGGCATTGACATTGTTTTCATGGAGGGTCACTTGAAATTACGCTTGCAGTACCTTTAATGTAAGACGACTCAAAGTCAAATTCAAAATGAAAAACGAGTGTTCGATTAATTCTTTGTAATCAATTTGATCTATTTTTGTAAAATAATCTAGTTTAACTTTAGATGTGCGAAAACTTTTTAATAGTTCTCTTCTTTACGACTGCTTTTGGTGTTTACGATAAAACTCTTTATTTCTATTTTGTTTCTTATATCTTTATTTTTATTTACAGCAATACTGTCCAAATCAAGTGGAAAATATAAAATTTTTATATTTCAGTGAATGAGTGAATCTTTATTGAAAGAATGGAAAACTTGATTGTAATTTAATATTTTTCACATTTCTTTTTAATCTTTTAAAACTTTTTTCTCCTGAGTGTTTTATTTTTATCTTCTCAAGATTTGAATGGTTTTTTTTCAGAGAAAAAAAATTGGATTTTTGCACGGCCGTGCTATTTCATTACTCGTTTTAAAATTTTGAGGAAAAGGGGGAGGGGTCAGAATAAAAATCCAAAAATAAATAGTTTTTCTAGAGAAGTAAATTAGTTCTCTCATTTAAAAAAAATTGTTTTCTTTAAAATCCGGCTTGGTTCAAGAAAGGTTTTGAAGGGGGGTGGATTAAAGGACAACTTTCTGACAAACGATTGGTAGTCTAAGAGATGTGTTCACTGTTCATGGTAGTCTTTTTTTTATGTGATGCATTACATGTAAAATTTTCCTCTTTCCCCCCCTTATTTCCCAGCCAGGATAGGGTTCAAGGGACTGCAGACTTTGTATTTGAAATTACTGTTATCTCTATGAAGAACTAGTTTTTTCTTGCAAAAACAAGTTTCTCTTTTTCTTTATCGGAAGGATTGGAAATTCCAGATCTATAGAAATACCTTTCAGTATTTTCACATTTTTCTGTTTATTTGCTCTCAATGTTCTCATGGTATTGCTTTTATGATCTCATCTGTATGTTTCAGAACTATGTACAGTATGCACAATACACGGTATTCAGTCATGAATACAATGTAAACTGTGTAGTTTACTGTACAGTGATAAATTGTACAAGTTCAAAATGGGGGACAAGTCTTCACTCGGTCCACTGTTGCTTGGGGCTGCAATCACAGGTACATTAGAAAGTGATAAATAGAAATTTTGCCATTTAAGCGTAATTTCAAGGGAGCCTCCAGGCAAAGATGGCAATGCCAGATTCACAACGGTACCCTTGAAACCTTTATCTGTTCAATAATGTTAAATATATTGTTGTTTTTCTAGGTTTCTAAGTGTTTATTTCTGGTAATTCCTATATGGTTTTCTGCAGTAGAAATTTGCAAGTCACTTATGTAAAGAAATCACAAATAATAATAATTTTAAACATTGATAAATAATTTATACTTAATCAGAAAAAGATGTGTATGGTTATTATTCGGGCGTTGACATCTTTGCATGACATACATTTAGGTCCGTTTGATATCATAGTTTAAGTGTCTTTTATTGTTTGCAGATTGATAATTTCTCCTCATTTAGAGGTTAACGCCTTTTTTGGAAATTCTACGAACTGGATATTGAGTTGTGTCGCTGACGCTATAATCGCTGTCCAGTACAAAAGTTTTTCCCTCAGATCTATTCAAAAAATGTTATTGTCTTATGTGGGTTCTAAAGAAATATTTATTTGAGGTTTTAGAGAAATGTTTGTTTCAATAGACTTAATTAATTATTTTGTTTTCGAATGAGTCATGCCAGAATTTTAATTAAATTCTAGTACAATTTGGGGTCGAAACTTTTGTATCTAAAATCTGTGTATTGCTCATTATTGCGCATTTAAATCATTGCTTAGACCTTTCCTTTCTCCTCGCTGGTTCAACCTTAAACGTTGGAAATCTCTTCCATTTTTTCAAATGTTGTAGAGGATGATATCCCCGGATTATAAAGTCCGCAAATCAATAACGTCTAATTCTGGAACCAGAGAAGACCTTCTCATCTTATTCTCCTTTAATACACTCGTTATTTATTATGTATTTATATCTAGAAGCAATAAATGAACTTATTAAAGTGTCTTAATCAGGCATTTTGGGATGGACAACTTTTCCAGATTTAAAAAGTTAACTCCTTAAATTTTTCAAGTTAATGTTGTGGATATCGAAGTTAAAAATAAGCGCTAATCAATTCAAAAGTTTTGTTCTCTAATCTTTTCAAAAGTTGTTTTGAGCAAATATTTTTTTTAGTTGTAAATCTATCTTATTGTTTTCCAATTAAGTTACATTTTTACCTTAAATGTTTGATTAAATGTGTTATATAATCAGCCCCCCCCCCCCCCATACATTTAATTATTCTAAGTGTTTTGGATTCATTTTAATAAACCCGCTGAAATCTTGTTGCACCCGCTTTTTTCTATTATCTTGTGGTTATTTTTGATTTTACTGAATAATAATTGACTGATAATTATTATTGTTATTATTATTGAATGTAATAAGTTGATTTTATGGCACAATTTTTTCAGGGGCTACAGGACTGTGTTTGTATCTTCTTCTAAAAAATGAAGAAAAACTGTGTGAGAACCAAAATTTAACTTGTCAGGTATATAAAAGAAATTTTTATAATATTATTAATGATATTATTGTTGATAAACTATTACATTATTTAATAATTAAAAATGTTAATTTATCTTAGGAAAAACAGATAGTTTGTAATCTTTTGTATACAAAAGAAATCACTAACATAATCCAATTTTTAAAATAAAAATAAAATATTTATTATTTTTGCTAAGGCAACGGTTTAAAGGGTTCTGTTGGGAATTTTCCTACAGATGTTTACTAAAATGTTCGCCTAAGTACCTTTAAGCCCCACTGTTGTTCAATGAATAATACGTCTGCAGTCCCTTTAAGCCCTATCTGTTATTAAGATGACTGTTCTTGATGTGAGAATATCTAAGGAAAATGTTGGAATAGTTCTTGGTAGACATGGAGCCAATATCAGGTATGTTTATTAGAAACCTTGCTGCCATTTAAAAAACTTTTTGAAACAACCGTATTGCAAGTCCGTACTGTAACTAAAGGAAAGGGTTGTTTTTCTCTCAAGGGGATGAATTTATTGACTAATGAACTGTGCTAATGAGTTTGAATGGTGTGGATGTATTGACTAATGAACTGTACTGAAGAGTTTGAAGTGGATGGGTGTATTTACTAATGAACCGCGCTGACGAGCTATAAAATGGATGAATGTATTTACTAACGAACCGTGCTGATGAGTTTGCATGGGAAGAATGTATTGACTAAGAGCCTGTGCTGCTGAGCTTTAAAAGGGTTAAATTTATTGAATAATGAAAAGCGCTGATGTGTTTGAAGGGAAGGGGTGTATTGTCTAAAGAACAATGCTGATTATCTTTAAAGGAATGGACGTATTGACCAAAGCACTATGTTGATGGGTATTAAATGTAATGCATTTATTGACTAACAAACCGTGTGGATGAGCAGCCAGAATTAATCTGACCTACGTACCCGGATCATCGAATCGAGTCGTCGCATATATCAATACAATAAGTACGACTTTGTATTTGAATTTTGATTTATATCAATCTGTTAAACAGCATGGATTCACATAAACATAGAAGCCAAGAGAAGCTGTCAATCAAAAAAAGCTTTTAATTAATTACTGTAAACTTGTAATTTTGAAAAAAGCTTTTTAACAATCAAAACATCAAATGAAAAGGTCGTCTTTATTGTATTAATGTAATCGCCCATTACCGTACCCTGTCTCTAGAGAGATCCAGAGTAAAACCAATACAAGGATATACGTCAAGGATCATCTGGAGACAGATCAATACAAGGTCTTATCTATATCAGGTTAGTTTTCTTTAATTGGAGTGTCTAGGCATGGTACTTGAACTGAGAATACAGTATTGTAGAGAAATATTCTAGAAATAATTTGCACGCCTGCCTGACGAGTGGGACAATCCAGGAGGATTTTCATGATTGAATTTTCACTCTTTCTGAATGATTATACACCGAAAAAACGTCTTATAGGTCTCAAATGATTTCTAATAATTTCTCTACAATACTGCATTCTCAGCTCACTACCATGTCTAGCCAGACACTCCCTTTAAATTCAAACTATTTTTTAGCAGTTTGTAAGTGATCCTTGCTTTAATATGGCAACATGGCTGAAATTAAGCCGTGTTCTGAAACCTATAAAAGTCTGTATAGCAAGGAGAATGGTTCAGACTATTAAACTATTTTTCAGTTCAACTTGGAAGCTTAAAGCAAATCCCAACATTTCTTATTTAAAGGGACTGTAAACATAATTTCAAGTGACACTCCATTTACATATTGCAATGCCCGATTCACAACGGTATCTATTAAACCTTTATCTGATCAATAATATGGAAGTGTCGTTTTTTAGGTTTAAAAGTACTTAATTCTAATAATTCTTATATGTTTTCAGTTAACATGCCATTTAAAATAATCAGTTTTTAAAATCTTAAACATTCTAATTTATACTTGATCAGACAAAACTTTTAAGGATACCTCTGTAAATCGGACATTGCCTACTTCGCATGGGGGGGTCAATTGAAATTACGCCTAAACAGTCTCTTTAATTTTAATGTTTACGCCTAAACAGTCTCTTTAATTTTAATGTTTACGCCTAAACAGTCACTTTAATTTTAAATGCATTTATTGTTAAGAAAGATTTAGATGTATAAATATTACCTTAAAGATTATCATTTAAACGTTTTCCTCCCGAATGTCTTTTTGCAATTTTTAGCATTTTCCCCTTTTCTATAGAACTTAATTTTCTCACCAAATTATTGATCTAATTCGATTGTTTTTGATTGAAAGAAAATTTAATTGAAAACATTCACAGAAATATTTTTGATTTACGTTTTTAATGAATGGAAATCGGGAATTATTTTATAAAAAATATCTGTATGGCATCTAAGAGTAAGAAAATAGATGGGGGGGGGGGGGATTAGGAAAAAAGTATTTTAGCTTTTCGCCATTCATTAAATTTTTTTTTTTCAAATTTGGATTTAAAAATATTGGATCACAGAATTAATTTTTTCAGTCATATTTTTTTCTGAAAAATAGGATATTTGGAAATCTAGAGACAGCATTTTTCTTAGGATATCCCGATGGGATTAAATTGGCGGATATCCTTATACAGCAAACCATCCTATCCCAGCCCAGGTCAGTGAGTCAGTTTTTACAATTAAAATTATAAAAAAGATCTAAATGCAATGTTAAACATATTAATATATTTTTAGAATGGAGTCACAAATTGTTCATATACCTCAATCAGCCGCTATCAGTGTTTTAGGTAGGTACTTGTAGACTTTTAGTTACTAGGTAGATTTTTGTAGATTTTTAGTTACTAGGTAGATATTTGTAGAGTTTTAGTTACTAGGTAGGTTCTTGTAGATTTTTAGTCACAAGGTTTATACATATAGAGTTTTAGTTACAAGGTAGGTGCTTGTAGAGTTTTAGTTACTGGGTAAATATTTGTCGAATTTTAGTTACTAGGTAGGTTTTTGTAGAGTTTTAGTTACTAGGTAGGTACTGCATAGTTTTAGTTACTAGGTAGGTGTTTATAGAGTTTTAGTTACCAACTTACCAGGAAGGTACTTGTAGAGGTTTAGTTATTTGGTAGATATTTGTAGAATTTTAGTTACTAGGTAGGTTTTAGTTCCTATGTAGCTACTTGTAGAGTTTTAGTAATAGTTACTAGGAAGGTAATTGTAGAGATTTAGTTACTAGGTAGATACTTGTAGATTTTTAGTTACTAGGTAGGTAATGAAGAGTCTTAGTTACCAACTAGATACATGTAGAGTTTTAGTTACTAGGTAAGTACTTGTAGAGTTTTATTAATAGTTACTAGGTAGGTACTGTAGAGTTTTAGTTACTAGGTAGATAAATATAGAGTGTTAGAAATAGTTACTAGGTAGGTACTTGTACAGTTTTAGTACAAGTAGGTAGATATCCGAGAGTTTTAGTTACTTGTAGAGTTTTTAATAGGTACTTGTAAAGTTTTGTTAGGTACTGTAAAGTTTTTGATGGATACTTGTAGAGTTTTAGGTAGGTTCTTGTAGACTTTTAGGTAGGTACTTGTAGACTTTTAGGTAGGTACTTCTAGACTTTTAGGTAGGTACTTGTAGACTTTTAAGTAGGTACTTGTAGACTTTTAGGTAGGTACTTGTAGACTTTTAGGTAAGTTTTGGATAGGTATTAGTAGACTTTTAGATAGAACTTGCATAGTCCCTGCACTTACTGTATTTTAAAGGGAATCACTTATTTCAAATTTTTCCCTAGGCCGACATGATGAACATATTAAAAGTATAGAAGAAAAATCTAGATGTAGACTCTACGTAGAAAAGGTAAAAGCTAAATTTTTAATTTTTAAGTTTTTGTTCCATGAAGACGAAAATATGATTGGGCAGTATTTAAGAAATGAAGATTAGTATGGAAAAAAGAGGTTTAATGCACTATTACGTTGTTGTCCTTTAATGTACTTGATTTTGTATGACACTCCCCCCCCCCCTTGTTGATCTTTATATTTCTAGACATTTTTATTTTTAAGAGACCCCTTTTTTAATTTCAAATAACCATCTTTTTCAATTTGAAAAACGATAAGATTTTTTGTCACTTTTTTTTAAGAAAACACACAATTCAATTTATATTTTATCAATCAGATAGGAAAAAAGCATTTTTGCATCACTTATGGATTAAAGATACCATTTGAATCGGAAATGTAACTCTTAAAATGGAGGGTTGCATAAAATTACTAGGATAGTCCCTTTATTATATTTGAATTTAACTGAAGAATTGTGAGGACTGCCCTGGTCAAATTAAGATAACTCTTCAAGGACCTAGAGATCAGGTATTTAGCAGATTATTATTATTATTATTTATTTTTATTATTTGAAGAATCCTGACGTGTCCAGCCCTAGTGTAAGAACATTTACATAGAAATAAACATTGTCATTGATCCAAAAACAAATCTACCCTTTTAGTTCCTATTTAACAGGCTTCTAACCCTACTACTGATAATGGAATGCTGCAGATTTTTTTTTTAATTGAATAATTATATGGAGCTTTTTAGGACTGCAGCCTCATATTTGATAAAGATATGGTTACTCCAAACATGATTAGTAAAAACAACGCAATATATATTTGATAAAGATATGGTTACTCCAAACATAATTAGTAAAAACCTTAATGAGCGCAATTCATATTTCATATAAAGTTGTAATATCTGTTTGGTTTGTTTTTCCGATCATAACTCAAGAGCCCCTGGACCGATTTGACTCAAATTTTGATTGGGGTATTCGAGCGACCCACGGGAATTTTCTTAGATTGGTTTTGAGATTCTAACTTGAGAGTGTCGACTTAAATAGATTAAATTTAGTTTCCCGGTAAAATCCTTCAAATGCCGGTAAACGGCGGGAGTAACTTTAAGTAATCTGTGCAGCGCTGGGTTCTCAAGCTAGTTCATATAATAAAGCTTTTCGTTCATTTATATTTATATGTTAGCTATGGCTGGCCAAACGGTTGGGCCGAATGGGTGTACATTTTTTAAGGGAAACCTTGAGTACCCCGGAGGTAACATAGGCTAAAAAATCGAATTTTTTCAAAATTCGTTTTATGAATAATTCCAGTGGCACTTCAGCTAGTGTATTTATTTTTATAATAGTACTTACTTGGTAAACCTTGGTAAAATAAGGATATTATCATTGTTTCTTATCTCATATCGTGATTAATTCTGTCAATTTCATTCCTTATCAGTGCTAAATGGAGTCATAGCTTATAATTTATAAAGATTTTAAATCAGAATTATTTTGATAATGAAAAAAGAATTTTTAGATTGTGAAGGCTCAAGGAATAATTCAGACTGGATTAGAAACAAATCAAAATATTTTTAATCAGGTGATTCTTAATTCTTTTATTTAAGAATGGTACAGCTTTAAATAAAAAATTATTATTATTATAATTTTCATTTTTTTTTTGTCATTTCATATTTTTACTGTTATTGTAAATCTCAATAACAAGTGTTTGAAATATCATTATTATAATTATTAATGTCATTCGCATTGCTGTCATTATTTTGATTATTGAAGTTTGTCCCATTATTGCTTATGTCGATAATAGCCAAATATTACATAAATATTAAATAATATAGGGGGAGGGTTAAATTTCTTAAAATATAAATCCCCTGTCTCCACAGTCAATTGAATAAATGTTTCATTGATTGATTAATTGGTTGATTGATTGTTTGATTGATTGATTGATCGATTGAACGATTGAGAGCTTGATGGATTACAGAATTTATTAATTGATTAGTTGGTGGCTTGATTGCTTTTTAATTAATTGATAGATTAAATGATTGATTGATGGATTGATGGCATAAAGGATTAAGAATTAATTATTGCTTAATTGATAGCTTGATGGCTTAATTGATTTTTTTTATTAACTAATTGATTGATAGATGGATGGATAGACCTATTATTTGATAGATGTATTGATTGATTTATTGATTGATTGATTGATTGATGACTAGACTGACCGGCCTGCTCGGCTGAAGTACCAGCAGCCACTATTCCTGAAGTATGATCCTGAGGAAGACGACAATTTAATTTCTTCCGGAACTATTTCACAGGTTTTAAACTTCCGGATCAGAATCCTAGAACGATACTGGTTTAGAATCGATATTGTAAATATGTTATCTACAAAATACATTATAGGTTATTGATTTATCAAAGGCAAGATTTTGTGAAATGGTGTTTTTTAGAAAATTTTATCTTTTGATTTGTGGAGCCAAAATTAAGCGGATCCGGTTAGAAACATTTTAATTTTATCTAAATATTCCTTTTCCTCGGTATTGCCCACAAGGGAAAAAAATAACCAAGCATTATTTTTTAGGAGCAGTTGCGGTCGACTGGATCCGATCAGCTAATACAGGTAGTACCAGCTGATTGTGATAGAAATAGCTGATATAGGTAGAAGCAGCTAGTTCAAATAGAAACAGATGATACAGGTAGAAGCTGCTGATTCAGGTAGAAATAGGTGATACAGGTAGAAAAAGCTGATACAGGTAGAAAAAGCTGATACAAGTAAAAATAGCTAATACAGTTAGAAACAACTAATACAGTTAGAAACAGCTAATACAGTTAGAAACAGCTAAAACATGCGTTACAAATGGAAAAGGTTAATACAAGTAGAAACAGATGATTCAGAAAGAAACAGATAATACAGATCATAAAGCTGATAAAATTATAAATAGCTGATACCAGTTGAATTAGCTGATACATTTATAAATAGCTGATATAGGTAAAAAAGATGATACTAAAATCAAACAACTGATACGGTAGAAGCAGCGGATAAATATAGAAACAGTTTATACATTTTAAAAAAGCTGATATAAATAGAAACAGTTGAGCCTGATACTGATAAAATAGCAGATATAGATATAAACAGGTGATTCAGATAGAAACTCCTGATATATGTAGAAACTATTTTCCCCTAGGTGTATGTATCTTGTATATCTACCCCTGCAATGTTCTGGGTGCAGAATGTTGGGCCAAGCTCTATTGATCTGGATAAGTTGACCCAGGAAATGACCTCTTACTATTCTAAACAGGAAAATCAGGTAGCCAGTAGTGTTCGGCCTTTAGCTTCCTTCGCTTTTTAAGACTTTTATGTTTTTTTTTTTACTTAAAAAACGTTACTACATAATTTTAAGAAGTTTTACTAATTTCAACACATTTGGTTTTCTTACACTAAAAAAATTAATCCCGGGAGAAGATATTCTCATTAGTAGCTGACATGTATTCAAATTTGGAGTATATATTTAAAGAATGAATTTGTAAGGACAAAATTGAAACAAATTGAATATTGGAAACCATTAGTTTTCTCACCTTTTCAACAAAAAAATAAAAAAATTCTTTCCAGCATATTATTTAAAATACTAGACATACTAGAAAAAAAAAGTTTTTAAGCATGAGGGGAAAAAAAATTCGACAAAATATGGAACCTTGTGCTGGAATCATTTAGACAAAACTTTCTTTCAAAAACTTATTTAACTTTAATAACTTATTTTAATTAAGTTTTACAATATTTTTAAATAGTTATATGACAGTAGATGTAAATATTTTGATGTTTTTATATTCCTTGTTCTTCCTTTCTTCTTTTCTTCTCGTTCCTACCGCATACAATTAGGGATGTTAACGCTTTGATTCTTTTGAAAAACGATTGTTTCGTTATGAAAACGACGACGAAAAATTGAAAACGAAACGATCGTTTTTAAAAACGATAATTTTTTTTGAAGTTCGTTTTTTAAAAATGGTCGTTTTTAAAACGATCGTTTTTCAAAACGACCGTTTTTAAAAACGATCGTTTTTTATAAAATTCGTCGTTTCGTTAAGGTTGTCAACAAACCTTCGTTAACGATCGTGATCGTTAACGAAGAGAGGAAACCAACCTAAAGGGCATCTGTACTAATTGAGTAGTTTTTAAGAAAATATCAAGAAGTTAGCTCCCCCACAACTGTTAAACTTCATGTAAGACGACATTCAATAAAGTTGCATGTAATCATAGTTTTTCCAAAAACGACCGTTTTTATAAAGTTCGTCGTTTCGTTAACGATCGTTAACGACAACCCTTCGTTAACGATCGTTAACATAATTGTCAATAAAAAATTTCAAGTACGATAGTTTTTTCAAAAATTATCGTTTTTTAAAAAACAATCGTATAAAAAACGGTCGCAAATCGTTTTTATAAAAACAATCGTTTTCAAAAACGATCGTTATTTGTTTTCTAAAAGTTCAAAACGAGTGGGTCGTTTTAAAAAAACTATCGATTTTTTCCGAAAACGAAATGATCGTTGTTGAAAACGATTGAAAAACGAAACAAAAAACGATCGTTTAACGATTGTTGTCAAAAACGATTAAAAACCCTACATACAATCATATCTCGGCAAATTTTGAAAAAAAAGAAATATTTTTTGTTAGTTATCATTGCGGTTTTTTAAGAATGACGTTGTTATTTCAAGTAATTTTTTTTAAAGAACATGCCCGATTACCATCAAACCTTAATATGATCAATGATTTGGTAGATATCTTCGTTTTTTTACCTAAAAAATGTTCAGTTCTGATTATTTCATCCATTGTTTCTGTAGCAGAAAGTTTTTATTTTGTCCCCTTTAATTCGTGAACATAAAATGAAATATACGAATGAAATCCCCACAACGCTTATTTATTTTTTTTAAATTCATTCCATCCGTGCGATTGAAGTGTACTGAATATGAATGGAAAATGGCATTTTCGATTAAAGGAAGAATTATTTTTTAATGTAACACTTTAAGAAAGGGTATCTTTGGAAATCGGGTAAAGATAAAAGTGTCCATTTAAATTATGTCCCTTTAAACATTTAATTTTTATATTTTTAACTCTAAACAGCGCACACTCCCTTTAAGATAAAAACATTTCTATTGAAAATCTGCGCTGAATTTCTATAATATAAAATAAGATTTGAAATATGTTAAAGCAAATTCAGAATGCATACATGCGTGTTAGAATAGTGTGTACATGAGAAAAGTTTTAATAAGCCTTCTTTTTGTGTGTTCGTTAAAGAGATTTTATAGAATTTATGCCAGAAGAGGGGATAAATAAATAAATGAAACCCTTCTATCCGAGGAATGATCTGTGATCCTGTTCTTTTGTGAATCAATGGAAGCCTTTCTTAAGAAATACTCCCCTGAAAATAAAAATCTTTGAATTTTTGTTTAAATTCGTCACACGTCCAACATCCCTGGACCTCCGAATAGGAGTGAGTCCTTCTTCTGTGCTCTGAGCCTCCCTGTGCTGCGTGCACTCGTCTATCCGCTTCTCTTTACGCGCTCGGTCTGAGCAGATTTAATGGGCTTGTACCTGAAAATTTAGATTGAACTCATCTATCTAAATTATGAACTAAAAGAATAAATGAACAAATTAAAATCGATCTTTCAGAATCCCTTACAATAAAACGAGAAATTTTGTCTTGAAGTGGTTGTAGGCATAATTTTAAGAGACCCTTCATTCAAAGATGGTAGTGTCCGATACACAGAAGTACCCTTGAAACATGTATCTGAGCAATAATGTGGAAGATATTGTCGTTTGTTCTAGGTTTAAAGTGTTGAATTCTGATATTCCTTCCTGTTTTCCTGCAGTAGAACATGTGCAAGTCACTTTTGTAGAAACCCACAGGCCACCATTAAAATTTATCAGTTTTCAAAATAATAAACATTGATATCTAATTCATACTTGATCATATAAAGCTTTAAACCGTACTTTTGTGAATCGGACTTTGTCATCTTTGCATGAATGGTCATGTTATTTAAAATGTCCCTTTATATTTTGTATTTTTTCTTATTCTTGCTTTTTTCTTTTAACTTATTCTCCTGTATACAACAGGGCCCAGAAACTTTGGAATCAGAAGATTACATTTTGGAAATTAGAAGCTTAAAACAACAATATTATTTCTCAGGTGTTCCATAAACTAGAGAGGGTTGATGTTGGAGATATCGTTGTTTCATCCTTTGCAGGGGACAATAGTTACTACAGGGCTAAGGTAAACTAGGGTTCGATATATTTTACATATTTTTTATTCCAGCTACTCAAGACAAAAGAGTAGGGTAATTGGGGAGTTCCAAAAAGTTCGGCATACTAATTAACACAACGATGATTCATGATACTATTACTTTTGCATTTTCTAAATTGTCAAGATTAAACAATAAGCATGGTTTAAATTATGAAACCAGTTTTTAAACCTTGTTGGAAACTACCATTGAAAGAGTATCAATTATTTTTATGATATTTCAATGGTTGACTGAAATCTCATTGAATCTAATCAGGTGGTTGAGATACATGTGAATGAGTACGACTACCTTCAATCAACAGTAGACTTGGACTTTGTAGACTTTGGAGACGCAGAAGTTAAATCTATCTCAGAGGTGATTAGATGGATTTAGTGGAGATTAAATATAGTACTATAGTGGAGATTAGATAGAGTTTTTTTTTTGGAGGGGGGGTACTTTTAATATAATTTTAGATGAAATAAATTAGTTCTGTTGTGGAGATTAAATAGAGTTTTTAGTGAAGATCGAATATAAGGTTAATAGAAATTAAATGAGTTTTTAGTGGAGATTAAATATAGGGTTAAAAGAAATTAAATAGAGTTTTTAGTGGAAATTAAATATAAGGTTAATAGAAATTAAATAGTTTTTAGTGGATATTGATTATAAGGTTAATAGGGATTGAATAGAATTTTAGTGGAGATTAAATTTAGTTTTCGTTGAGGTTATCTATAATGTTACTGGAGATTTAATATGATTCTAGAGGGGACGGAATAAAGTTGTAGTTGAGATTGAATATACTTTTAGTTCAGATTAGATATTGTTTTAGTCGAGACTAAAAAAGTCATATATTAATTGTGTGGATTAAATGTAGGTTAAGTGGAGATTGAATATAGTTAAGGTGGAGATTGAAATTTTAGTTTGTTGTGGAGATTAAATATTCTTCATTTATTATTTTTCAAATTTTATATTTCAAAATTTATTATTATTTTGTAAATAATGAGACAAATTCTTGAAATTTCTGAGTGTAATTTTTTTTTTAATTTCTGAAAATGTATACATTTGCGTTACTTGTTAGGAATAATATTTCAAAAAAGGTTGTAACTGGTATAGTTCAGATTTGATTTGATTTGATGGAATGTTTTTTACCTCTGTGCTACTTTCAGGTATTTGAGTTGAGAACCAATTATCTTAAGCTCAGATTTCAAGCCATACCATGCCGACTAGCAAATATTAGGTAAATAATATATTTTTTGAGATATTTAAGGAAATCATTAATAAATTCCCCTTTTATCTGTATTATTTGGATCGTTAAATTATCTTGAAATCCACCAATGGAAACCAAAAAAATCTACAAAATCTAAATTCGTATTGTTTC